CGATATTACAAGTAAGTTTCCTGAACGTAGCAGTAAGCCCATCTTGCATGCTCATGGGTTGTCTTCGTGCTATTTATCGCCAGCGGAAACGAATGCTGGGAACTAATATTTCACAGATTGAGACTAACTACGTTGATTTTCTCTTTTCAGGTTGAACCTGAGGAGGTGTCAATAAGTAAAGTTGGAAGCCTTAAGGCGGGTCCCTCCGAAATGGGCGATGGCCATCTCATAGAAGGTTTCCTCGGTGGAAAGCCGGGAGCTATTCCATTTGGGGGGAGCCAGATTGCTAGCTCCATCTACAAAATACATCTCAAATAATTTCCGATTGCCACAAGCTTGTAGAACCACTGGCTATACTATTTTCCATTTTTTTCGTATGATCAAGAGCACGTATATTTACATACTGCCGAGTCATCTATGATCTACATGATCTTGATACAATTCCTGCGGGAAATTCATTGACACCATTTACTTCTGACACAATTGGTTGAAGAACTCCATTTGAGAAATTGTGAGGCGATGTTTTTGTACAAATGCCACTCAACGCCGCTCCATTCAGGGCTACCTCTTCCACGCCATCCCTAGGAGCGCCAGTCTTTCATTGAGTGACTTGAGAATTACCACATTGAACTTCAACTCTTGACACCCAAAAGAAATACTGTACAGTCAAACCTTGATTCAGCAGTGCGACCCTTACATGGTGTCATGCTCAAAAAAAGCATAACTTGAATTGTTTTTTTAATCACATTGTTGCAAATACAGTATGTTTGTCACTACATGACACCTTCCTTCCCTGAAAATTTAAAGCTTCCTTGGAAACAATGGTGATTCCTTCATGCAATTCCCTCACTTTCTCCTTTATGCACACTAGTGACAGACTTGAGGCTTTGAGTTTACAGTGCACTGAGTGGTGTCACGTACAGGAAAACTACAATATACCAGGTCTAAAGGTTTACAAAGAAACTTCATGTTTTGTCCATACTCTGTCTTTCAATTAAAATTCAAAATGCTGGTTCAGTTCACTGATTCAGTTGTGCAATAGCTCATTACAGAAAAATTGGTGATCATACAGCCCTTCATTGTTTTCTGTACATCATCAACCTCATGTACCTCATCACATCCTGCTGCACAGACATTGGCAGTTTAACAAGATTTGCTTGTACACTTGCTACTCCGCTTCCCACATAAGGGACGTATTCCTGATTCTTGAAGTCACTCATGCACAACCATGAGAGAGAGTGTTGGGTGCAGGGCATGAGGGAATGGGGTATGCAGGGGTGAGAAGTTCTGAAGGGGTGCAGTCCTCCTCCAGTGAGAAGGGGTCTCACAAACAGCCTCAGAGGCCCAGAAATTCTGTGAACAAACTGATTTTGCCCACAATAGAAACCCTCAGCAATATCCTTCCTCTCTGACAATATCTACACTTCCAGAAAATGACTCGCAATGTTGCAGACGTTTGTTACTGACAGCACTCACCAGGAATTTTGGCTGAATGAATCATTGTGATGAGAAAAACCAGGTTCGCAGCACACTGCATCCAGTAAGAATTCACTGTTGAGAAGCTGTATAATTCTTATACTTCATGTAGTCATATGGTTTTTCACGTTATGTAAAACAATTTTTTGAGAAAAACGGAAATGCTTAATTTGTAACATTACGTTTCGTATTTTATCACACTACGGATAGCAGTGACATCTAATTAAGCTTTGATGCGCAAACGTAAAGCTTCTGGGACATGAGATAACCTCAGCCGTTCATGTAAGTCCAAGTCACCTACCGAGATGCGGGTTAAGTGCGTCTAGAACTTAGAATCTGTAACGTGCAGAGATGTTAACTGAGCCCGCCGGTGGCAGGTGCAGCAAGTTTAATTCATCTTGCTGCCGCGTGGACACGAATGACAAGTGCGAACGTGTGAGTAAAATTTAGTTGCTTCGTAAATTGCTAACTCAAGTTTGGATTTCGTTTGTTGGTAGAGTATCGGGTTGTATGGAACGTTGTATTTTTGGTCACCAGGTGTCAAATGATCGTCAGTGAGTTTTTCGGGATTTCGTGACTCAATCTTTTCGTGAACTTGAAGCAGGCTTTACAGGATGTGCTTCGCGAGAATCAAGTTGAGCTAATCCTCAAATTTAACGTGTAGTTCGTGGTCTTCCCGTATTGGTCTTCCCGCGACGATGGCCTCAACATTTGACGTGCTCGATCGTGACAGGTATGTTGATATCTGTGCTACTCCTCCTTCTCTCAACCACTGATGCTGAAATTTGAAATTGTTCTGCATCCTAGTTGGTACCATGGGCCAATGTCAAGAGCGGAGGCGACTCAAATCCTAGATAGAGAACGTGAAGGTGGTGTTTTCCTAGTCCGTGATAGTACCAGCATGAAGGGTGATTATGTGCTCTGCGTCAAGTTAGTCATTTCTCACATTATGATGCGTTGCGTATCTTCCATTAAAATTTCCTTGGTTTTCCTCAGAGAAGACAACAAAGTCAGTCATTATATTATCAACCGCGTTCCTGACGACGACAACCAAAAATGTGTATACCGAATCGGGGACCAAACATTCCCTGATTTACCGGAGTTGCTAAATTTTTACAAATTGCATTACCTGGACACCACGCCGCTGACTCGTCCAGCGAAAAAGAAAATAGAACGCGTAATAGCGAAGTATGACTTCGAAGGAAATGTAAGTTGATCTTGTAGCGTTCATCATGCTGGGAATGACTGGAATCCTGGCGTTTGCACCTTCAGGATCCGGATGACCTCCCGTTCAAGAAAGGTGAACTTCTGGAGGTGTTGACGAAAGACGAAGAACAGTGGTGGACTGCAAGGAATTCAATTGGTCAAAGGGGGTCTATACCGGTGCCGTATGTTCAAAAAGTGAGCAATTTAATCACGAGATTCACGTGAACATCGTGCTGTACAAATGCGCTGAAATCTGAAGACATTCATGCCATCGAATTCACAACCTATTAAATGAGTGAAGAACTGTGCACGACATAGTTAATTTAATTTGCAAATCGAATTGAAAAGAATAATCCGCGAGTCATATCTGATGAACAGATCTCTTGAGAAGTACGAAGATCGAAATTCTGACAGTTGTAATCTTACAATTGCGTATAAAATCTTCATCTTGCTGTATCTAGATCAGATCAAACCGTTATATGTGGTTAATACATGGTTGTTTTAAAACTGTCAGCATTTCTTCGATGTCAAATCTGAGGCATCCTCATTTGTGAGACATTTTGGGCCGAAATATGGAAAACGTGCGTCTTATATACTGTATTTACATATACACTAGTGTATACTGTATATGATAGCGATCCTTACCGATGGGAAGGGCGCTTATAAACGTGAGAAAATCTTTTTTAGGTGAATGATTCGATGTTAGCTCAGATATCGAACGACTCCATGTCAACGAGCGCAACGCAAGACTCGAATGATGAAGAGTTCAGCAAACCTAATTCCCGACGTTCAGAAGTCAGTTGAATTTTATGTATACTCTTTGGGTTCATTATTTATTGGTTCCAAATTTTCTAGAGGAAGCTTCCTTGTTTCGCGAGGGTTAAGCAGGAACGAATCCCGAATGCTTATGACAAGACGGCTCTGAAGCTGAAAGTAGGCGATATTGTTCGAGTCACGAAGATGAACATGACTGGTTCATGGGAAGGAGAGATAGACGGAAGGAAAGGTTACTTTCCGTTCAATCACGTAGAATTGCTAGACGACCCATCACCGGATGGCGTTTCTAAATCAGATGAGATGTAATTTTTTTTTGTGCTGCATTGAGAAGTTTTTTTTTCCTTTTTTGTGCACAGAGTGTCAAACACTTCCGTTTTCTTCGCCTATGATTTGTTTCTGAAGTGCACGATGTTCCCCAATGTTGTTGAATCAAGGGCTTGTTAATGGCCTTTTTTGGGAATTTATTGTCTCGGTGCTTCAAAATTTGGTGCTGTTGTAGTAAGTGGCTGACTTCCAGTTATGGTATTTGACTGTTTTGACAATTCAGTTCCAGTATGATGACATTGACACCAACTGAAGTGAAGCAATGAGTCCGAAAATGAGTTACTGCACGACGTACTCATGTTTTGGTTGCACATGAGAAATGTTTCAAGCCAAATTGGGCGTGGCCTTTATTTAAGGTATTTTTAACTGCTTTCATGTTTTCTTTTCTTGGCTTTGTCGAACAACATTAGAGGTAAGCCTTCATGTGCTTAAATCCTATACAGTACTGTACTCGTTTACGTTATTCGCTTACTTTTTTACTTGTCAAATACACTTCACCCCGAAAATTAGTGGGAGGAATTGCCCGAATTGGGGTCGTGTCGTGGACAGATATGAATTATAATGGGTATTCATGAAGGAATTTCGATGCCCGTCGTGCACTGGCATGTATGGTTACTGAGTTCATTATTTGTGTTGGACTGTTATAATATTTTAAATGAAGTTTTCTGTTGGAGACTACCGCACTTCGGTGGTGTGTCGCATACTGTAATAGCACCAAATTTTTGACCATCACCAGGCGAAGGCCCGCGTTCAAATGTTGCCTATAAATTCTATCTTTTGGTTCCGAGTGGATATGGAAGAAGCTTTCGTCTATGAATCGCGCTGGATTTTTGTCACTATGGAGTTTCACATTGGTGGTCGAACTTGACCGTTGCTTTTGATGCCGACCCACGTAAAAAAGGTGGAAAAAGATGTTCTATGTCGGGGAATGTGATGCCTTTTTTTTGTTGTTTTGAAACGCTGCGCAAAATACCGCTTCTCCCCCTTTTTTGTTTCCTTCGTGGGTTTGTGTCGCGTCGTGTGTTCCGGCGATGATGTTCCGTCGTGACATGAGAAAATTTTGCAAAAACCCCGTTTCCCCATGCAAAAAAACTGTTCGTTGAGGCGTATTTTTTGCTTGTGAGGAATATTTTTTGGTTTTTTCTTAAAAGCCTTCGTTTTGAGTTGTTTCACGTTCTGAGTTATCGAATGATGAAAGGCAGTTGTGGTGACTGGAGGCTAATTTTCTACCTTTCTCTGTTCGTTTCTTTTTCTCTACTCTCGGCGCGGGGATTCGACGCGCAGATGTGAGTGAGTAGTGCGATGGCGTGTTGTGTGAGACCATGGGTGGTGAGGTTGAATCTCGCGATCGCTGCGATTGGCGGGCTGCTGGGGCTCATTGCGTTCCTCTGCTTCGGGTTCTACTTCCATAACGAGCATGCTGCCGTCTGGGGCCTGGTTTCGGGTGAGTTGCAGTACTTTTCGCTCTTTTTTCTTCTTTTCATTGCAGTGAAAGCTCGTTAGAACGAAGCCACTGGGAACTGAAGAATGGCTTCGTTGTGAAGTGACTCATTTAGCATTGTGGCTGTTGAGCAGGGGCCTAAGAACGACTTTGTTGTGATGATTCGTTTCAACCGAGATTCGATTGTTCAGTATCGGACAAAAGGACACTTGAAAATCAGAAAATGTGCCCCAACATCAGGTCGTCTCGAGGTTGGGACACTTCCCAACATTCGTTGAAAGATTATGAAAAATGTTTATTCATACCAAATGTTGATGTAGCTGTTGAGCAGGGGCCTAAAGAACGACTTCGTTGTACAGTGAGACCCCAACATACAAATGAAATTACTTAGGGACACTTTTAACTGAAAAATCTGCCCCTGAAATCCAGACAGTGACTCAAGATATGGACACTTTTCCAAGATTTCTGGAAAATATTTAATTTTTCTAAATTGTTTCATTTCTTGAAGAAATGGATTCTTTTTACATTTACAAATGCTAATAATAAATTTTCATCATGAATTTACCATAATTCATAATTAAAAACCAGCTAATTTTTGTGTTTTTTTCCAGTTTTTTCCCTATACCTGTGCTCAGTATAGCAAGACTTGTTCTCTGCTTCTTGAGCTCCTTCTGATGCCAAAAGAATAGATTCTGTTTGGTTTTCTTGTGTACATTTATTTTCTGTGTATTGATGTTGAGAAAACATTTTATCCAATTTTTGGGTGAATATTCCTTTAATTATTGATCTAAAGAAGAACCAATTGAACATATTCTAATTGGAGTCTATGGGAAAATGAGTCCCAATATGTAAATATCACAAGTTTGGGGACAAGGTCCATGCCCCAATTATGTCCGCATTTCTGGGTCCCACAGTAATTCATTTAACATTGTGGCGATTGAGAAGTGGTCAAAGGAATGTCTTTGGTGTAAGTGATAATTCGTTTCAACTAGATTTGATTGTACAGTGAGACCCCAACTAATGGACAATTTGGCTTAGGAACTGTTGAAACTCAAAAAATATGCCTCAACATCCAAATATTGTACTGTAGTACAGTACTTTGAGGTAAACTTTGAAACATTTATTGATAGAAAAGGAGATTTTAAAAATCTTGATATCCCTTGAAAAAATTGAGTTACTGTATTTATATACACAATAATTAAAATGAACTTCATAATAAATTTGCTCTAATTCAAAACAAGCAAATGTTGTGCTTATTTTTCCAGCATTTTTTCATCTTCCGTGCACAGCATAGTTAAATTTATTCTTGTTGTTTTTGTCTTCTCGAGGAAAACTACGGTTTTCTAGTCTAAGAAACACCAAAAAGAAGAGGTCTTAATAAGATAAATCTAAAACTGCAACTTCTTTTGTAAGAAGAAGTTAAAAACGCCTTGTACTTGTATTAAAAAATCATCAACAGGAAAATGAATTAAATATGTTTGCTGAGAGATCTACAGTAAAGTATTGATACGGCATGGGGACGCTCCGACGTAGGGACAAGGTCCAGGCACCATTTATGTCCGCATCTCGATGCCCCCACTGTACAGTATTCTTCAGAAGTTTTTCATTTCCGTTCGCAGTCGCGAAAAATATCTGAAACCACGGTTTTAAATCTGAATTCGAAAATAATGTGACCTTTACAATGAACGTGACCTCGTCTTTGGAAAGTTCAAAACAGGCACGAAGAGCGAGTAAATAAGAACAGGGGTTGTCAACATTCGTGGAAAGTCGTTCCTCTCAACCGGATGCATTGGATCCTGTTGATGGAACGCGCAAGAAAGTTGATGGTAATGTACTATTGTAAACAGGATATTTCTTTTCTTATCAAAGTGGTTTACCATCGAGTCCGCGCTTTGTTATTTTCAACTGGGGAATCCGGTCCTGCTCGTGTTTAGATGGTATCAAGCCACTTAATCTCATCAACTCTCTTCTTGCTACTCATCCCTTTTGGAAAATATTGCAGTATTATTAAAAAATAATAATAATGTATGATGGAACTGTAAGTTTCTGTGATGTGGACATACAGGAATTACATTTTAGTCTGTGTCCACTTGTTTGATCAAGTTTTTCCTATAGACTTCAATGGGAACATGTTTGATTGATTCTTTTTGTCAGAAAATTGGAAAAGAAATTCCAAACAATTGAAAAGATTTTTTTCTGGACTTTAAGGCAAAGAAAAGATAAGACCACGCAGAATCTGTCCATATGATGTGAAAAGGAGTGAAAAACGGAATTAAAGTTTGTATTGTACACAGTTTATGAAGAAGAAAAGACTTCAAAAAGAGCGCAAAATTGGCTTGTTTTGAAGCATGAATATGAGTATAAGAGAAGCTGGGAGTGCCAGTGATGGTTGGTGTCATCTTTGAAAGAATTTAAAATTGTCCTATTATGATGGTAGGCATAATTTCTAAGAGAGATTTTCAGCTGCATCATTGGGTATCATTTGTAAAATCTTTACAAAGATTTGAAAACTTTTCATAATGAGAATAGGTCACATGTTTGATGACCAATAGTAATCTGTGGATGCCCAGTCAGACCTGGAAATCATGGTTAAACTTATGTAGAACATTTAACTTATGCAGAAAATTTTGAAAATTTGAATGATGGAATCTGGTTCATGCTCTAGGACCACTGGTAAAATGATGTGTAAAATATAGCTGTTCAAGTCAATTCTTCAAGCATACTTTTTGAAAAATGGAGCACATGTTAATATGTACTGTACCAGAATGTTAATTTTAGGGGATAGGTGTACAGGTGGACTCCCTCTAAAACAATCTTGTCTGGAACAATTTTCTCTCTACAGTCCATTTTNTTCTAAATTGTTTCATTTCTTGAAGAAATGGATTCTTTTTACATTTACAAATGCTAATAATAAATTTTCATCATGAATTTACCATAATTCATAATTAAAAACCAGCTAATTTTTGTGTTTTTTTTCCAGTTTTTTCCCTATACCTGTGCTCAGTATAGCAAGACTTGTTCTTCTCTGCTTCTTGAGCTCCTTCTGATGCCAAAAGAATAGATTCTGTTTGGTTTTCTTGTGTACATTTATTTTCTGTGTATTGATGTTGAGAAAACATTTTATCCAATTTTTGGGTGAATATTCCTTTAATTATTGATCTAAAGAAGAACCAATTGAACATATTCTAATTGGAGTCTATGGGAAAATGAGTCCCAATATGTAAATATCACAAGTTTGGGGACAAGGTCCATGCCCCAATTATGTCCGCATTTCTGGGTCCCACAGTAATTCATTTAACATTGTGGCGATTGAGAAGTGGTCAAAGGAATGTCTTTGGTGTAAGTGATAATTCGTTTCAACTAGATTTGATTGTACAGTGAGACCCCAACTAATGGACAATTTGGCTTAGGAACTGTTGAAACTCAAAAAATATGCCTCAACATCCAAATATTGTACTGTAGTACAGTACTTTGAGGTAAACTTTGAAACATTTATTGATAGAAAAGGAGATTTTAAAAATCTTGATATCCCTTGAAAAAATTGAGTTACTGTATTTATATACACAATAATTAAAATGAACTTCATAATAAATTTGCTCTAATTCAAAACAAGCAAATGTTGTGCTTATTTTTCCAGCATTTTTTCATCTTCCGTGCACAGCATAGTTAAATTTATTCTTGTTGTTTTTGTCTTGAGCTCCTTTTGATGCCAAAAGATCAGATTCTTTGTGGTTTTTCTTCTCCAGAATTATTCTATTTAGATTTTGACGTTGAAGAAAACATTCTTCTTCAATTTTTGCGGAACATGAACATAATTTTTTCATCAACCGGAAAATGAATTAAATGTGTTTGCTGAGAGATCTACAGTAAAGTAGTGATACGGCATGGGGACGCTCCGACGTAGGGACAAGGTCCAGGCACCATTTATGTCCGCATCTCGAGGCCCCCACTGTACAGTATTCTTCAGAAGTTTTTCATTTCCGTTCGCAGTCGCGAAAAATATTATCTGAAACCACGGTTTTAAATCTGAATTCGAAAATAATGTGACCTTTACAATGAACGTGACCTCATCTTTGGAAACTTCAAAACAGGCACGAAGAGCGAGTAAATAAGAACGGGGGTTGTTAACATTCGTGGAAAGTCGTTCCTCTCAACCGGATGCATTGGATCCTGTTGATGGAACGCGCAAGAAAGTTGATGGTAATGTACTATTGTAAACAGGATATTTCTTTTCTTATCTAAGTGGTTTACCATCGAGTCTGCGCTTTGTTATTTTCAACTGAAGAATCCAGTCCTGCTTGTGTTTAGATGGTATCAAGCCACTTAATCTCATCAACTCTCTTCTTGCTACTCATCCCTTTTGGAAAATATTGCAGTATTATTAAAAAATAATAATAATGTATGATATAACTGTAGGGCACTGTGATGTGGACATACAGGAATTACTTTTTAGTCTGTGTCCACTTGTTCGGTCAAGTTTTTCCTATAGACTTCAATGGGAACATGTTTGATTGATTCTTTTTGTCAGAAAATTGGAAAAAAAATTACAAACAATTGAAAAGATTTTTTTCTGGACTTTAAGGCAAATAAAAGAGAAGACCGCACAGAATCTGTCCATATGATGTGAAAAGGAGTGAAAAACGGAATTAAAGTTTGTATTGTACACAGTTTATGAAGAAGAAAAAACTTCAAAAAGAGCGCAAAATTGGCTTGTTTTGAAGCATGGATATGAGTATAAGAGAAGCTGGGAGTGCCAGTGATGGTTGGTGTCATCTTTGAAAGAATTTAAAATTGTCCTATTATGATAGTCGGCATAATGTCTAAGAGGGAGTTTCAGCTGCATCATTGGGTATCATTTGTAAAATTTTTACAAAGATTTGAAAACTTTTCATAATGAGAATAGGTCACATGTTTGATGACCAATAGTAATCTGGGGATGCCCAGTCAGACCTGGAAATCATGGTTAAACTTATGCAGAACATTTAACTTATGCAGAACATTTAACTTATGCAGAACATTTAACTTATGCAGAACATTTTGAAAATTTGAATGATGGAAACTACCTTAGACCAAGTACGAGATCCTGGTGACCATTTTACTACACATTTTATATCGACAAGTTCAGTTAAGAAGTTCGTATGAAAAACTTTTTACCTCGTGTACAATTATACATGACATGGTCTTACATAATTTTAGGGGATAGGTGTACAGGTGGACTCCCTCTAAAACAATCTTGTCTGGAACAATTTTCTCTCTACAGTCCATTTTATTTTTGGTTCTTGATTTGTGAGTGAGTCCACCTGTATCATGCCCTTCAATGAGTATACAGTACCTTGCGAGAACAGCACCAAATGAACTAAAGGATTTGAGACCAACATTGGCAGACCATATTTCCATTGATGTGGGTCTCTGCAGATCAAATATTGATTCCTGGATTACTTTTGTTGCTACAAAATTAATCTGGCCAACGTTTTGTTTCATCAAGGAAGAAAAGAAATCCATTCCTGGATCAGTTGTGTTCAAAGCTAATCTGGTTACAAATTCTTCTTTGCAGCCAATTTTTGAAGATCTCTACCCAATAGACACATTTTGATACTGCATAGAACACATTTTTACCATGATGCTTTTTTCAGACCTATTGATTTTCTTTGAAGATTTCACTGTTGATTCACAGAAATTGGTGTAATTTCGCAATTCAAAAAATACATTTCCCCTTTTTCAAAGAAAATCTTGCGCAAATGTAGAAGATGAGAAAATTTCTTGCCTCACACAATTTTCAGAGAGAGGCAAGAATGACGATGAAATGCTTTTAGGGCCTGGCTGACGCTGAGGTTTTTGGTCCTTCATTTACAATGTTGATTCAAACTTTGAAGTGACTCAGTGTGCAAGTCCTCTTTTTTTTCTGGAGAAAATTTGTTTTGACATTTTTGTAGCTGTGTTTTTCTTCTGTTGAACAGTGACCGTTTATAAATGAGATGCTGCTCCTTTGCTGCGCCTAGATCTTCTGTGGTTCACTTTTGCCAGCTCTACTTTTGTTGACCATTAAACCTGTAGAGATGCTAAATTCGAAGTCCAATATGTTCTCAAAATACTGTATGTAAGATTGATGCTATGCTCTGGTGTAGATGGTTTCCCTTTTTTTGATGTGTCAAAATATTCGACGCAAGTGCCGCAAATGTACTCTTGCTTCTTCCAGGAGTGACGTTCACTTATCCCACCGCAACCGCATTTAGGCCGTGTTTCGACTGGTACTAAGCTGTGTGAGATGCTCTCGAACAAAGATTTGCGTTATCGCACATGAAACTGGTCAAAATGTGTCGAAGGTCGTTTTTTCATTTGCTTCTTCTTGGGTTTTGTTGTGTTCATGGAATGTGAATGAGTTCGTTGAACTGTGTCATCTCTGTGAATGTACGTCAAGTTAAGCTGTCGCGTTTATACGGTGAATCAGTCGAAAAGGGGCACGTTTGAAGCTCCCTTGTCGCGCGGCGTCCGTAACAGTGATTCGAGATTCATTCGCGCGCATGTGGAATAATACCTTTTGAGTTTGATTCCTTATCGCGTGTTTCCGGAGAGTGATGAAAAGCTGTTCGGCGTGTGTTACCGTGATTGAATGCGTGCGTGCATGCATGCACCGATGCACGCACGCATGCATGAATGTGTGACCCGCATGGAAAGCTCTTGTGATTGTGTTTCCCTTTGGCAACGCGAGATTAAAATGGGTGCCTGGGAAAATCGGTCTCCCGCGTGACTGCGAAGGGGAAATTAGCTTCCCGCTGCTGGGTTGGCAGTTTGTCTGTGACGCGACGCCTGTTGGTAATGTTGACACCAGCCCCTGGCATTTGTTAGCGGACGTGGGAAGTCGGGGAAACGAACGAGGTCGACTCGAGTGATGATGGAAGCGGATTCGGGCGAGTGGAAAGAAGTGGAGGAAAAGAGAGATGAAATGAGGAGGAAAAGTTCGAAAAAGAAGGAAAGCTAGCGGGCGAAAGGGGCGAGGGATTTTTTTCGAAGAAGTACAGTACGTTTCTTTTATTTGCACCTCGCGCGACTGGTGTGCTGATCTGTCGCATGTCATATTTTCACGACGACTCGATCATCGGGAGGCGCTTGTTGAGGGGAGGGTAAACGTAAATAAACTCATGGGGGATGTCTCCAAGTTCTTCCCTCCGTGATGAGGAGGGGGAGGGTACACTTCATACACCATTGTTTATGCTTTTCTTGAGCACCCCGCGAGGAAATGTTTAGGTGTTCGAGGAAATCTGGGAGACAGTAGGAAAGTACAGTACAGTACTGTACTTCACCTGCATTACCGTACTGTGTTTCGCTCGAGTGCCACGCGCCTCGAGTAAGACGCGCGCATCCGAATTTTTTCAACCTGAAATTTGGATAAAAATGCATCCCAAAATAAGAAACGCACCTCATTTTTAGAGACTGAAAATTTAAGTACTGTATTTTGAAGGTAAGATGCGTCAGAATTGCAGTTTGACTTGAATTTTAGTCAAATTGAATACAGTATTAATTTTTAATCATTTCCATTTTTCAATTGTCTGTAGAAATTGACGTTATATTCCCTTTTGGAATCAAGTGTGAGGTGCACCGAGGCTTTAAACATTTTTTTTTAATTTTGTGCCCTCCAATGAGAAAAAAAAACATCCGCTTCTTTTTTTTTTACTTTTCAACTTTGGCAAAAAGCTGAGTGTAATTTGGAGTAAACATAATACAGTATATTTTTCCAGCATCTAAGAAATTAAGTAATCATTCACGGAAAACGTGAGTTTCTTCGTCGAATGGGTTGATAATTAAGAAATACTGGTGGACTGTCTTCGCAACAATCTTGTCCGAAATGATTTTCTCTTCATGACGCATTTTGTTTTTGTTCCGAATGGGTCTCTACGCATGGTTGAAGGTTCTTTCCACAAAATTCTCTAGTAAAAATTTTTTCTGGTCCCTTTAAATTTGGAGGTATGAAATGCAAATGATTGACATCCGAATGAGTTCCTTCCTACGGTATATTGGAGATAAGAATCAGATGTTTATTTATGGTAGCTTTGGAAGTACTAACTTCATTTTGAAGAATAGTTCAATATTCTGCCGAGTGACTCCAGTATGATAAGCACTCGGTAATCATTTTAAATGGAAAACTTAAACCTACGTCGCTCTTCCTTATTTTTGTGTTTGGTAAACAAGCAAATATTGTACAGTACAGTATGTTTATTCATGATTTCTCTCGAATGAAGATGACAGTTCATCGTTTAGTCTATTTAAAGGTTGTTCTTCATGATTCACAAATTCGTATTTGAACCATTAGTTACTCTGGGGGAATTTTTTTAATGAGTATTTTCCGTTTTTGGATTTTGCAGCCCTGTTGGCGTCGGTAGTCGCACTGCTGCACTATCTGTACATCAAAGAAGAGCTTGACGTGTGGTATTCGGGGGGTGGTCTCTACAACATCGCATTCCTGGGACTTTGTGGTGCACTCATGGGACTTGCGGGGCTCATCTTCTACGTATTTCTCATAATCTACTACAAACTACGTGAGTAACATGATCCCGTTTAATCAGCAACAAGAATGTACTACATCATTTGGGAAAATGCATCAGAAGTGGGGGAACTCTTCTGAGGTTGCTAGGGGGGGGGGATGTAAATTATTTGAGAGGAAATTTGTTCTTTCTGTTAGTTTGATCTGAATGGATGAGGGAGGGGTTACATACCAGTGTTGGTCTTTCAGAATCGGGGTGTTCTAGTTTTAAAATTCAAATACTTACTGAAAGGCAGAAGGCATTTTTTCATTTACAGGAAATGGGGTGACTTTTAGCATTGACTTGGGTAACTTCTTATTCACAAATTGACGTTCATGGAAGTCACTTCCAACCTATGCCAGGGGTTTTTACAAAATATTCCGGAATGTAAATTGAAATGGCAAATGATTTGAGCTGAAAAGCATTTTTGATGGGAAGAAACATTCTTGGGCAAACAGAATACAGCCAATATGTTTTAAAATTCATATTTTCTAAAGATACTCTTGCAGCTTTCTGCTCTTCACTAGAGAGATGAGGCACCCATTTTTCAGATTTCCTGGCGTAGCTCATCCAGAATTCTTGAAATCAGAATGGTATTAATTCAATGGGTTGCCTGTGGGTCTTCCATGCAATTTTCTTCAATGGCCGCCTCAGTCTTATCCCACCGGGCGGATGTGACGGCGGCTCATGATAAGAATGGTGGAATAAATGATCATTCAATGGCAGCAACCCCTGTAATTCATGCCTTGTCAAATAAGAGAAAAAATGAGAAGTGGAGAAGCGAGGTTGCATAAAAAAACTGCAAAATGGGCGACTCATCTTTTGAGTCAAGACCAAAAAGCTGCCACGTTGACTTTGCGAAGAAATATTTCAAACGGGTTAATTTCTTCTTGCGTCAAATAATCTTATTTTTCCAAGAATTGTATTTCAGCTCAATTGTATGCCGTTTCAACTTATATCCTGAGAACTTAGGTAGACCCCTCTTATAAGATGAAGTAAAGTTTCAACTGTAAGATGGTACCTATTCTATCACAGAACATGTTTACATGAAATACTACGCTTTTTTTCAGCCTTTTCTGCGTCGGAAATTTCGGACTCTTACTACATAGCGACAGTTTGGTCGTTTATGACAGCCAAGTGGGGGATGGGTCTTTTCATGCATGCGAGGAACTACAAGACAATTCTAGAGGGTGAAGACGATGGTCTGAGGCCGTTATGTGACCGGGAATATCTGAGTTGCAGCTTACATGATCCGATTGGTGCCTGAAGCCGTATAACATTCAGTACTGTGATGACGTTGGGCGATGAATTCTGTTTTTTTTTTTTCTTAGTCGTAGGGAAAACGGAGGACTCTCAGCCACGAGCTTTCCAGCGAAAATTTCAAATTTGAACTGATTCATTCCGATCAACGCCACTGCAAAATAAAAGCTTGGTGTAATTTTTGATAGTACTGTGAAAGCGATCAATGTTGTGGTTTTTTTTTTGCCGCTCATCGGCAAGAGCTTCAGAAATGAATTTTTACGAAGGAAGTCACGGGAATTATTTTATCGGGCTAACAGCTCAACACTTTTATAAAGAATGATGAAACATACATAAAAAGAGACTATGACAAGGACTACACGAGGACTTCATAAACCATACGTGCGCAAAGGCTCATCCATCGCAGGGCAGTAATATTCTCCGCACAGGATTGACTGCAGACTGGGAATGCTGACATTCTTGATGTCGTACATGGCCTTGTCAAAGTTTGCCAGGTTTTGCGGATTCTGTTCTCCAACAAAATCTCTGAAAAGAGTTTACGGATCAATGAAAATCATAGGTTCTTTTAGTCCCACGTTAAATAATGCTCACCGTAGACGAGCCAAGCTATTGTACGCTTCGTTCTTCAGTGCGACCAAACCTCGCCGCTTCTGATCCATTTGTTTCCCACTTAGCAAATCGTAAGTGAAGTGCTCGTTCGCCGGGATTTTATTTCGCTCCATCATCTCCTGTTCTCGAAGAGATGAAAAGAATAACTTTAATGAGGAATTTAAATCTTTGAATATAAAGCGTGAATTCAATTTCGCGGTAATTGATTCATTTAGTAGAATGACATGGGTTGTAAACGTAACTTTTGGGGGGATTCACGCGGTACCAGTTTAAAATACGTGAATATTTCAGGGTGTTATGAACATGAATTTGTGTCAAAAGGAAAAGGAGGGGGGTAAGGGAAATCCTGGCATCAATCCAACACAAACAAGTACTTGAATCTCGAGACAGAAAAAGTAAACTTGCAACCTTTCTGGGATTGGGACTCGAGACTGGCCCATGGCAGGAAAATGCCCCTTCCAGGTAAATAAAGCTGACAGCTCCATAAAATTCTTCGAAAATCACCCAAAAATTGAAAGCAATGTTTCAAATTAGAGTCAACAAAATGAGTTTTTAGAAGAACGAAACCTGGGGTACAAAACGCATGCTCTTCTTTTGAATGATATTCAGCGACACAACCGAGTGAAAATAGATGTTCTTTTAGTCTAGTACTAGCGTGTAAGTATGAAGAGTGGAGCATAAGGAAAATGGTGCGAAAAAATTCAGCACATATTGGAGAAAAGGGTGCTCTTCTCCAGTGGAACATTGTCACATGCCCCCCCTGGAAGGTTGCCAGTCTTTGGCAAAATTACGTGGACACTTCCGAGTTTTAACACCTGTGCATTTCGCACAAGCTCACAAAGACGAAAAAAAAGGAAAGTCAAATGAAAAACAAAGATGGAATAACCCGGCTCAACTTCACTTTTCAACTACTGTATTGTTAGAATGTTAGAAAAGAAAAAAATTTGGCAGCCAATGGATGGTAAAAGTTGTTTTCAGCTCTTCCTCGCACAATTGATAGGATTCAATGATTTTATCTTGACTCAAGTCCCCCCTCTTTTGCTTTCGAATCAAAACTTACGTTTTCTACTGAGAAATAATTCCTGTCATGATCTCACAGGTTTTTTTTTTGTTGGGTCGTTCAAATTACGACCTTGGACGTCATCGAATCAAAGAAACACCTCGATTCAATCTCCCGATGTAAAAAAAAAAAAAAAAAACTGCGAAAGCTATCCTTAACCAAGACGAAATAAGTCACGTTTACAATTACAACGGTGAACATTACAGGGGAACCCGTTTAATTGACTCAACCGGAGGGGTGAAATTAAATCGGCGCCGGTCTAGGCACGACGGCGCCGTTTTTGTCGCTGCTGCCGCCTCGCTCGCAACTCGCGGTAGTCGGGCTGGAGCCAGGCGGCAGCGACGAGCCCCGCCGCCACAAACAAAAGCGGGAGAAGGCGGATAATGACCACGTAGGTGGCGTGGAGATGCTCAAAGATGCGCGTAACGGCGCCACGCTCGTTGTCCGTGTCCGCCACGGCGTCCCGCACGTCCTCGGCATTGCGTAGACATTCGGCCAGCGTGTTCTCGAGGCGGCGGGAGTTGAGAAGCGTCCGCTTTTCGGCGGTCTTGACGATGCGCTGCACTTCGGCGGAGCTCACGATCGGCTCGATCTCCTTCACCAGGTCCGCCATTCGCTTCTGCATCTCGTACTCTACAGATTTTGGAGAGAAAAAAAGGATAAAAAATACAGTAGTAATTTAAATTATTTGCTATCGTATTTCTTAAATCTTTTTAAGGAGAGCCTTATAAACACGAAGTTTTTACTTCTACAACGGACACTTACGTCAGCTTGAAGAAGTTAAAGGGACACAGTTTACAAATTACCTCAGGAGCAGACTTAAGGAGTTTTTGGAGGCAAACTTGAAAGGCTTTCCACCTCGAATCTCCATTACTCAAATTTTCTGAGGCTGTTCGGCTATTTCTTCATTTTACACTAGAAAGAGAAGAGCAATAAAAATGTAAATACAGTTGAACCTCTGTAAGTCGAATTTCTAGGTACCAGGAAAAAAATTCGGCCCTGGGAGGTTTTGATATTTGGAGCTTTCCAGTTGAGGAAACAACACTTTTGTTGGGAGGAGAAGTGAAAAACTTGTGGGAAATCATAAATGAGGATTTTCTGGGCCTAAACTTGCTCCTTGATGAGTTCACACCTTGCTGAACTTGGAAGCAGGGGTTCATTTGCTAAATTTGTCTTTCACTTCCTTTCAAGATGTATCAAATTATTTGTTTTAATCATTTTTGCTTTCAAATTACAAGGAAATAATAACCAAGAGGCCTCAGAAAATTTGACTTACAGAGGTTTGAGAGAAAAAGATTGAGTGAGGGAGGTTTTTAATGTATTGATTATAAGGGAATTCAGACAGGGACTTGAAAAAATTAGACTTAGGGAGGAGTTTGACTTGAGGAGGTTCAAGTCTCAAGTTGAACTTATCAAGGTTCACCTGTGCTGTAGATGTGTTTTGAAAGGAAGGGAAATGACAAACAATTCCTTGCATCCAAGTTCAGCATCCTGTCAACTCATTCAAGAAGCCATTCAAGGCCTAGAATTTCCCTTATTACAATTTCCTGTTATACTGCACTTCTTTCTTTGCCCCAAATGCATGCTTGTCTCCTCAACTCTGAACCTCTCTCACTCGTTTTTGTTTTGTTTTTGGGAACCTTGAAGTTTGACTCAGTGAGATTCGGCAGTAAAATAGATAAATAACTACAACTTAATTCAGGAGTAGGATGACTTCCATTGGATTGACTAATGCTTCCATGAACCAGCCTACTGAAAAATTCCAACTTTTCCATCTGCGAACTTCACTTTGCGCGCGGTTTCTGTTGTTGTAGTAAAATTCCTGGTTAGAAACAATCAAGTTTCTTGATTGTCGAATGCACATGTAAGGTAATATAAAATACAAGATCCTGATTCCTGGTGATTTAATCTCTCTCGGCGACAAAACTCCCATTGGAACAAGTAAAACACGGGTCCATCTTGGCCTAACAATACTGTTGAGATTATTTTGAACAAGTAGTCTGGTTGAACTTACTCTTTCTAACACATGAATAAGTCCAGAAGAGTGCGTTTTAGAGAAAAGAAATATCCAGAACCCCCGCTAATCTGAAATGTTGTGCATCATGGGGAAAAACAGATTGCTTCCATATTGATAGAAATTTAAATTAGAAAAAGCAACAAAAAGATCTAAGAATGCAATATGAAATTGAATATGTACTGTAGCCTCATCAAAATACAGTCAAACCCTGTTAAGACGCCCCCTTTGTCTTTGTTACAATGCCAACATTTGGGTAGAATTATAATTTCTGCCAAGGATCTTGTATTTGTGAGGATAAAGAAATTATAATGATCATTTTTTTGAAAATTTTGAAAAACATATTGACCTATTCTTAAAACTTGAATGAATTGATGCAGCAAAATTTATTTTCTGGAAGAGTAATCCATTGATTACAGCAATACTCTTCTGAAAATTACTGAAGTTCCTATACACAATCCGTATCTCTAAGACTTTTGGAGGAAAATGGAACATTTTTGATCAAATAATGAAAATTAAAAAAATTAAATATTCAATAAACCGCCAAAATTATTCTGGACAAATGGTGGCGTCGTATCTGGTTTGACTGTAGCAGAAATGACCATGCGAACATATTCAGATAAGTTCATGATGTGGAAGCTGTTCCAACATTAATTCAAACGGCGCACGGTGGAGAAATCTGCCCTAGTCCATCGCACAAGTAATTCGAGACTTGACCTCATTTTCGGGATAACGCACTTGCATACCCCCTGCAGTCAAATTGGCAATGGTGAAGAGTTGGCACAGACTCTCGTGCGGCACGTACACGGATGTTGGAAAGACTCCAGGAAAAGCTACCGCCCTAATTTCAACATCCAAACTACAACAAACGTCACTAGCCTTTTTCGGAACAAAAACTGTAGTAACTTATTGACTACTCTACTAGCATTCCTGCTGCCTTTTTGAAACCAGTCTCGCATGGAAATGCAAATCCACGCAAGGAACGCACACGCAGATGAAAAATTGGATAAGTACCTGAAAAATTGGGTAAGTACCGAATATATGTTCCAATAATCGCCGGGTCTCACGGGGGGTTCAAGGGATTAGTAGCCGGCCTCTAATAACAGTGGCCGGGTCAAATAAAGGAGGAAGAGGGCATAAAAAATTTCGAATTTTGATCTTGAAGATCCTTTCCACAATCCAGTCTTAAACACTGTTGAATACACAAAAAACTCTTTTCCTTCAGACTTTCTTTTTTGCATTCCTGTCTCATTTCCAAAAATCAGTAGGAAATCAGCTTTTTGCTACTCTCCCCTTTTCCCCTCCCCCATTTTCTTTTCATATTTTCCACAATTGGTAATAATCTCTGGCCTGTAATAGACGCCTGTCTCTATTAGAGGTTGGTGGGGAAATTGAAAATGTTGAATAAACGCTTGGGCGTTTATTGGATCAGATATGGTAAATCAACAGTACTGTATTCAATGTCGACTACAAGCGACATCTAAACCACACAAAAACGGTTGAATTTAGTGATGGACAAAGCATCTAACGCTCAGAACATGAAAATCCTGTACAGTATTTAAAAATCTTCATTGATCAGATTTTCTGAGCTAGTAAAACGCAATTTCAGTTTTTTCCTTCTCAAATTTCTCCTTCAATGTACAGTATAACAAGTTGGTCTAGTGGCACTATAATGCAATGCAGCAAAATCTCAAATATCTGAGATATATTGGAAGTACTGTACCGTACCGTATTTACTTGAGTACCATGCGCACCTTTTTTCCCTCAAAATTGAGAAGGAAAAAATGGGGATGTGCATGGAAGAAATGGGGATGAGCATCAGAGGCGGGTATACACTTTTAAAAAAGTTCAAAAATGTAGGTGTGCATTACTTGCCTCTAATGGGACATTTTGGACCAAGTTATAGCAGAAAACTTACTTCAATGGAAAAACATATTCATTGGTTTCAGACTCAATTCCTTTTTATATACAATTTGGATGTCTGTAATTCTGCAATACTGTACCTCATTTGCTTGGGTATCACACGCATCTTTTTTCTCAAAATTTAGAAAAAGAAATAGGGGTACGCATCATAGATGGGTATACATTTAAAAAAGTTTAGACGTGACTTTCATTTGATTCTAATGGAAAATGTGATACCAATTTCAGTAAGAAAAGCTTTCTGTAGTAGTATAAATAATTAAAATTGAATTGAATTTGCCATCAAATCATGTCCAATTAAAAGTTGGGTGTTATCAATTTTGATATACTGTATCACATTTTAGTGGCACTAAAATTGGGGTGCATGTCTTGCTCGGGAATATAACTTTATTTTTAAAATCCGACTGAAAACCCTGGTACACGTCTTACTCGAGGATGCGTGGAGCTCAAGAAAATAAGGTTTTGTGGTTTTAAGAGTCACTAAAAATGGGGTGCGCATCTTCTCCGAGATAGGATTTCATCGAAATGTCCAACTGAGAAAACGCCAGCGTGCGTCTTGCTCGAGTAAATATGGGTACTTTCTCCGAAAAAAAAAAACCAAAAAGTTACGCCCATGCGCGCGGGAATGCAGTTCGCCGACAAGTTGAAAAAAAAATCATTCGTCCACAAGAAACTGCCTTTTTCGTTCAATCTGAACACCTCTCCCTCTCTCTTTCTCTCTCGAGAGAGAGAGAAAGCTTCAGTTCAGGTGAAAAACGTATCGGCAGTTCGCTGCGAGATGAATTCAATTTACCGCGCGGGACGGGTATTTATTTCACCTGCGGGGCGGAAGTCGAGGAAGGTGCGGTAGAAGGCGGCGCATCTGTCCTTCTGGCGGAGTTCCCACCTCCGCAGGTCTTCCAGGTAATACGTGGCAGCATCCACCGTGACGGGAGACGAGGTGATGGCCACGCTGTCCGCAAGAACCTGATTGCGATTCGAGAACAAATGAATCACGAGGCAGGTTTGCCTAATATTGTAAAACCAGCTTGTTCTTTCTAATACAACACTAGGAATTCACTTAAATGCAGTAAAATCTTGTTACAACAAATTTTTCAGTAAAAGAAACTTTTTTGAGGAACATTCTATGATTTCTTAATGAAAAATCCATAATGGAGGCAGGCACAGTCTCGCATTTCCCATTTCAAATGTGAATGGTTCTTGGAACATAAGGAGGAATCCAGCACAAAAATTCTTCAAAGTTCACCTGAAAATCCTCTCTTTCAAAGAGTATTCTCTTGTTAGGAATGATAATGGTGGGAAGGGAGGGGGGTTGGGGGTTCAGATGGAAAAAAATGAGCCCAGCAATACTCATGTTAGAAAGGGTTTGTATGCTTGAAAAATGCTAGTGATGTAAAAATTGTTAGCAATTTTGATACATTCACCCTTACAAATCTTTTCAGGAATTGCTTTAAAAAACTTGGAGTCAAGAAAGTATTTACCTGTTATTCAGAGCATCTGTTTTTTATTATTAACAATTAATTTTATTTTTGAAGATCAGAGTTTTAATAACTATTGAAAAACATCTGAAAAGGCAACAAAAGGAAGATGTTGAATATACCTGCTGGTCTAATGTGAAGTAAATCTTCCAATCAGTCATTAATTTCCAAAATCTCATTATAACAAATCATTTGTTACAACAAACTTTTTCTGAAGTCCCCACAAGTTTGTTGTAACAAGATTTTACTGTACCTTTCAAAAAAGAAGCAACATTGTACAGTTGAACCTGGCTGAGTCAAATACCTCCCTAATGCAAATTTGTTTTTTCAAGTCCCTGTCTGGGTTCCCTTAATAATGAAATGAAAACCTCCCTAATTTAAAGTATTTTTCTCTCAAACCTCTGTAAGTCAAATTTACCCAAATTTATAGCCTTTTGGCTACTATTTCCTTGGAATTTGTAAGAGAAAATCAATATAACAACTGATTTTATGCTTCTTATAATGAAGTGAAAGACTAATTGAACAAATGAACCCATGCCCCCAAGTTCAGCAAGCTGTAAACTCAAAAAGAAAGTTAGTTTAGGCCAGTGGTGCCCAACTCAGAAGTGGTCAAGGGCCACATTCAAACAGTAAAGCAGTTTGCGGGCCAGAATGGAAAAAATGCACAAAAAGTGCTATACAGTAAATTGGGTAATTCATTCATTTCTGGGGTTAATAAAACTTCATCACAATACGGTAAGGAAATTATAATCTTTGTGAATTTATTTTCAGCTATAATATAGGTTTATATTCAGCTATAATATAGGTAGAGGCCCATATGGGCCACTAGGCCCACTACCTATATCAGTGGTGCCCAACTCAGAAGTGGTCAAGGGCCACATTCAAACAGTAAAGCAGTTTGAGGGCCAGAATGGAAAAAATGCATAAAAAGTGCTATACTGTACATTAAATTGGGTAATTCATTCATTTCTGGGGTGGTTGAAACCATTCCATTTGTCTAACATGAAGTTCAAGGCATACAAAACTTTGAATAAAATGTTTTTTCCTCTGCAAACTTGTTGCTGCATTTTTACTAATACAGTTCAAGTTGTACCTGCATGACTGAATTTTTGTTGATGGAATTATATAAATTAATCTGCATAATGTTTCAAAAAAGCAACCAAAGTTCAAAAACAATTTTAGGCCCTGAATATCCTCATCTACAATTTCCCACAGTTTTTTTTTTTTTTTACTTTTCCTCACAACAAAAATGTTTGTTTCCTTCACTCAAAACCTCTCTAAGTCAAATGGTTTTCCTGGTCCCTAGAAATTTGATTTGAAGAGGTTCAACTGTTTCTTTTCTACATTTCTGAGCAAAGAAAAAAAGGAGGATGCAAGTCATAGGTGGGTATAATTTTTTCAGAAAGTATTAGTCAAACCTCTTCACATCAAATTTCAAGGGACTAGGAAAGATTTTGAGTTAGGGAGGTTTCCAGTAAGGGAAACAAGTATTTTTGTTGTGGAAAAGATAGAAAAATTGCAGGAAATTGTGAACAGTGATATTCTGGTCCTTAAATTGCTTCTTAAATGAGTTGACAGGATGCTAAACTTACAAGGGTTCATTTACTCAATTAGTTTTGCATTTCTTTTCAAAATACATCAAGTCAATCTTTCATTTCTTTTCTCTTTCCAGTATCATGAAAATATCAGCCAAAAGGCCACTGAGAATTCAAGATACAGTAAATAGGATTTGAGAGGAAAAGCATAGAAGTTGAAAAAAAAAATTCCCAAGGGAATTCAGATGGGGACTTGAAAAATTTTGACTTGAGGAAGTATTTGACTTAAGGAAGTTAAAGAGTTATCTGGGTTTAACAGTATAAGTTTAGCTGTGGATTATACTTGATTCTGATGAGAACTTTTAGACCAATTTTATCAGAAAACTCATTTTTATGGAAACAGCGGATGATCAATGGCATTCAGGCTCAATTGAAGACTAAATTCCAATTTGTGCGTTCTCATTTTTAAAATATTGCAGATTTAGGATTATTAAAAAATGAGGCGCGTGTCTTACTCAGCGATACAATTACAGAACTGTATACATTAAAAAAAAATTGATTAAGAAACCTGGGTACGTGTCTCACTCGAGTAAATACGTTCGATTACAGGTGAGCTCTTCTTGTAACGAAAAGAAATAAGTTTTACAGACAAGCCTCCACCTCACTGGTGAAGAATCTGTTGGAAAAAAAAAATAGATGAGCAGAGAAAATCGTTGTAGAATTTACCGGATTTCATTTTCATCGAAATTTGTTCGTTCATTCTTTCCTTCCGCCTCAAATGGCAAGTCAACCGTAGAAACTTAGGTAATACTGTACTGTACTGTACTGTACAGTGCTACCTTTGCACCAAACACTCATTCCTCTTCAGTACTTTTTCAACTGAGAACAATGTCGCCTGGAAGACGCATTAAAGCGGTATTTCACAGGAACACGTGCATCTTCGAGACTAAATCCATTGTTCGTTTCTCCCACTTGTTCCAGCAGACAACTAGTACGGCTTGTGCGAACAGGTTAAAAGCTGGCTGATTACCCAGAGTGCTGGGCTATAATAACACGCCCCCGGAATTCCTCACCGCCTACTAGTTCAGTCGCCAAAACAAGGACCACGTCCACTCAGACAATAAAATCCATGTTCCGGAAAATTATCCCGTCAATTTTTATGGTATTTATTGACTTCGGCCACGGATATAAGTACCAAGTAAAATAATAAAATAGTAAATTATAACATTCGTAGCTAAGTATGACAATTTTACACATTCATAGCGAAAATTTCACGATTAGTGGGGCCCTGAAAAATGGATAATATTGTCTTACTGACACTTCAAACTAAAAATGATGCCACAACTTCCAGACATTGTCTTGAGATACTGACACTTAGCCTACATATTCGGAAAAATAGAGAAGTACGATATACTTTTCAAAATTCTGACATCCCTTGAACTGAGTGAGCTATTTATGTTCAAAAACATGTTCTTTTTCAAATTTTCTACACAGTCCGTCATATTCAAAAACAGGCTAATTCTGTGGTTTTTAGAGGTTTTTTTTCATCATCTGTGCACAGGATTACAAGATTTTTGATAGTTCTATCCTTTTCAAAAGATGGAAATCTGTGTTTTTCCTTTTGCACAATCTTCTGTTCATTGAAGTGGAGAAAAGCCTTACTTTATTTTATTTTTTTTTTGCAGGAATGATAAGTGTGAGAATCAATTAAATACACTCTACTCATGTAGAAGACTACAGGGAAACGTGATTCAACATGCGGGTGTTTCCAACATAGGGACAAGAGCCAATTACGTCCGCATCGCGGGGCTCAACTGTGATTACTTCTCAAACTGCGTCCATATGATGGAATGTCTGCATGTCAGATCGCATTTTCCTAAGGACTTGAATGGAAGCATTTCATGTCATTTTTTCCGTTTCGCATAAAATTGGAAAAATTCTTCCCAGAAAAACAAAATAGTTTTCTCACCTTTCAAGATCTACTGTACCAAAAAACTCAGCGGAACAAAACCCCACAGAATCTGCCTTTGGACATGAAAATGAGTCAAATAAGTAAAAACGAGCTCGTAAATTGCCATATTGTACACATCTTAAGGAAAAATCCCTAAAAGAGAAGCAGAAAATGCAATTTTCTTTATAAAAAAAAAAAAAAAAAGTAGAGTGGGTTCATAATGAGATGTGCTTGTAATATTTGCTCACAGCAATTTCTCATGAAACGCCGGCAAACCCAATTTTAAGCCAGCTGCACGCAATTCGATTTTTGCATTAAATCTTTATGAAACTCATTTACGCTTTATTGTTACAAAGCAAGACATTTTTTTGGAACTGTAATGAGTTGAATGTGAGTATAGTAAATGTACTCACAGGTCCGTGATCAGTGATGGAAACCGTCATCAGAAGTTTGCCAGAGTGGAAGGCAGGTTGCGGAACAGGGATTGGAGTGCGGACTGGAACATTGAATTCGTACACCACCTTCTGCGCTTTGCTTTCGTCCAGTTCTGTCACTGCCTGTGCCAAATAAATGCATCGATAAAATTGGCAGAAAGCTCAAGAGATCAACTCCGTTTGATTTGTACGCATACGCTTCCAAAAAGACACAATATTGTCAAGAGCAGTCGTGTTCCCCAACCTTTTTGGGGGGACTGGCAAATTTTGAGAAAAATTTTTGCGGACCAGCAAAATACCAAAACATTTTAATCAGACTGGCGAAGTTTCATAAAGATTTGTCTTAAGTATTATTAGGAGAAAAGGCGACTTTTGTTTTCATCAGACAATTCAACTGCCATTGTCCTTGTGCAATTTCAGGTGAAGAGAACAGATTTAATCCCAACTTTTGACAAATGTATTATGCTGAAATTTTCCCGCGGAATTATTCCTGAGTATTAAATTGCTGTTATTTCTAGATATCTGCTCCAAGAATTGTTTTGTAGCAACAAGTCACGACTGTACAGCATTTTAAAATTTGGGTACTTTCCTGTTATCTCTGTACCTCATTCCTAGACCACACTACCACCCAGACAAATCTTTAGGACAAGTTCATAATCACAACAACCTACCAGAAACTGTTAATTTTATTGTTCCTCATTCTGCTGAAACTGATTTTGGGAGGGAGGCGGTTAGGTAAAGTTAGGTTAGGTCAGGTTATGTTTGTTACAAATATATTTCAATTAACATAACCTGACCTAACCCAACTTTACCTAACCGCCTCCCAAAATCAGTTTCAGCAGAAACCCAAGGAAAGCAGAAACTGATTTTGGGAGGCGGTTAGGTGAAGTTAGATTTTAACAGGAAAGTACCCAAATTTTAAAATGCTGTACAGTCGTGACTTGTTGCTACAAAACAATTCTTGGAGCAGATATCTAGAAATAACAGCAATTTAATACTCAGGAATAATTCCGCGGGAAAATTTGCGGAACCATCAAAATGCCAAGATGAAGATTCATCTTATCCTGGTTTCTTGTACATAATATTTTATGCCTTGCAGACTTCGACCCAATCCTATCATGATACTTCACAATCGATTTGCAAGACCTCTGAAAAATCCTTCTCATTAGATCATTCATTAATCAGTGGAAAATTAGACGCAACATACCCTGATTTCAGATTAGGTGATTCAGTGCATGTTAGGAGTAAAAGTCTCATTTATCGGGTATTTCAAAATGGTTCTCGGTTGGTTAAAAAACAGTCTATTTCAAGAACACGAACTGCATTTGAAAGCAATCTTTCTCTCTAGGCTCCATGATGAGATACATGCGCAATTCTGCTGTGAAGTCAACTGGAATAATGAGGTGCCTCGCTTGATAAACAACCATTTCCAAAACGGAATGACTCGTACGCACAGCCTGTACGAAGAAGGCATTTGCAAAATTTGCCTAAACCTCGGGGCGGGCGTTATTTTTAAACTCGGCAACTCGTCTATTCATCATTTCTTGTCTCCGATACACTCGAATCAAGTGATGGCGGTAAACACAACACCGCCTGTCCTGTGTATGCCACGCGGGCAGAAGATGGCCCGAATAATACTAAATATTCATGAGCAGGCCGCATTGCATCGGGATTTTAAGCGGCTCATCTGAATACGCGGAAAATTGCGAAGGCGATCAATCAAAAAACAAAACGAAAAAGCGGATTGAGCCTGCCTTTCCTTCGCCGGGATGATGAGGCTGGAGGTCTCCGAAATTGAGGAAGTTGAGGCCGATGAACTCGTCAAAGATTTTTCCCTTGCGGCAAAGGTAAGTCACGACCGGCTGGGTTTTCAAGTTCCTCCAGAAATGAGCCACGTCCGTGCGAACGTACAACGAAATGTCGGCCTTGCTGTTGGAAACCGTAGACGTACGCAGGTAAACCAGACGGGTCGGGATCGTCTCGATTTGCCCAAAATACGGGTGCACGAATCTGCAACGAGATCAAGAGTAAGATTAAATAATACACATCACTGTGTAAAAATATACTCGTACAGTAAAACCTCGATAAGACGCCGGCCATTCACTCGAGAGGTTCGTGGCAGTTCAACGGGGGTTGGTGGTTCATGAAAAAAAGCTGAATTACAGTTAAACCTCGATAACTCGGACCTCTTGAAGTCAAATACCTACGGAAGTCGAACTTCCTTCAAGTTCACGTCTGAATTCCCTTAGAAACAAGGAATTAAAAACCTCTGTAACTCGAATTTTCGGAAGCCACTTTTTCCTTGACACAGGAAATAGAAAAGCAATGAAAGAAGTAACTTGATGGGCTCTGAAAGGAAGTGAAAGTACAATAATTCAAATGAACCCTTGCCTCAAAGTTCAGCATTTTTTCAACGCATTTAAAAATCAATCCATCACCCAGAATATCACCATTTACAATTTCCTGCATCATGCACTCAGGAAATCCTCACATATAATTATGACCATAAAAGATTATGCTGCTAGAATAATTTTTGAGTGTATCAAAACTTTGTTGATCAAGTTGAGAATTTTTAAATACCTGTACTGTATTTCAGCATCGAACACATAAGAATACTATATATTTCGTGTTAAATTTGAAAACGTTTTGAGGATTTCTGAAGGATTTCTCCTGGGAGCCTGGAACAAATTATCCATTTTAAAAAGCTTCGAAATTCCTTTGTAATGATAGTGATACTTTTCGATAACGGGTTTTCAACTGGAACCAGTCCATCAAACAATGAAGTCAGTGACTTATGATACTCCCACATTTCTTCGTGGATACAACATAAAAAAGATAGTTCATCGATATTGATATTCAAGCAGGACTGAGACAAATACCGTGCGGAAAAAAACTGAAGTCCTTCTGGTATAATTTTCGTTTTTAAGCACCGAGTATACTCCGAAAGAGCTGGGGAAAAAATTTAGGATACAGTACCTGACGAACATGTAGTTTTCCCCATAATCCAAAGAGGTCATTCGTGGAATGGCCTCATCGTTGCTCCAGGACACCGTAATGCATTGGATTCGGATCTCGAAACTGTGCGTGTTATCGCAAATCGGCGGCTCTTCCTCATTACAACGTCTGGCCATGACTACCAATAAACCCGTAAACGAATCTCAAGATTTAGCGAGAGAGTAAAAACCCTAAAAGGTTTGACTGACTATATACAGGGGAACAGGAACACCAAAAGCTTCCATTCGTTCGTCATCATCACGCTGAGAAGAGAAAAAAAAAATGGAGCGAAACTCAAGAAGGTTGGCTATACGAACAAGCACATCACTATCACAACAACAACAATAATTCTTCGAGGTTATTTTCGAGACAGGGATCTGCGTTTGGGAATTTTGCTCGGAATCGACTTCTGCTTGCCAGAGAGATCTTCGAATAACGTGGACGTTGTCGTCGGTCCATCCATTGTTTCCGTGGCGACGTCCGAAGGTATTGCATCTGTCTCCGTAGCTTCAGTCGTCACTCGTAGAGTATTGGTATTTTTTGTGTCATTCAACGCGTCGCCGAACCTATTAAAAAATGTTTTAAAAATCACGAAAAATACACGTTCATGCAATATAATATTATCACAGGAAGGATTACATTTTCCAAAAATTCATTTTCAACGAAAATTGCGCTGTAATGGTACTTCCGTATTTGCTAAATACAGGTGGACTCTCTATAACAAAATTCAAGGAACCAGAAATAAGTAATTAAGGTACCCCTTTTAACATAGGGAGAGAACCCGACAGGAAAACAAAAAATATTCATACAGATAAAATCGTAGGGAGAGTGCACCTTTTATATTCTTAAAATTTAGAAATTACTGTCTGCAATTCAAGTTAAAGGTTTTATCGTGCCGTGATTCGCAATGAAGTAGACATTTTAACCTACTGTATCTGGAAACATCGAATATAAGTACTGTAGGTCCACATCTTCATATGAAGAGATCTCCCAGTTTTCAAAACATAATATTTCTTGGGATTAAAAAAAAAATCCACTCAGATTTCAGAAAGATCCGACAAAATGAACATATGAGGCGCTTAACATTATACTACTGTCCTAAGATTGTTTCGAACTCTTCACAAATTCTAAAAAAATTTGTACACATTCATCATCAGCTTCATTCGTTATTGGTGCTCTTTGACCAAATATAAATTAAAGAAGATGATCCTGAAGCTCCTGAATTTTGGGCGAAAGGCAATAATCTTCAAGAAACTCTCGTATGAATAAATATTGTATATATACTCCTCTCATCTGCACCTTTCACAAATTACTGTTTTCATCTCCGAGTTCTCACTGCGGTTTTCTAGAGCCTGTTTCCAAACAGGATTCGTTTCCACGATCATCGCGGAATCCTTCGGGGATCCCGGTGCCCTGTCGTTTGTCACTCCTTCTTTCAAATTATCGCGCATCATTTCGAACCTGCGATTAAACCAGAAATTCCGCACTAAATAAAAAACGACATTATTTCGGGATTCAATTTGGATGTTAACAACTTTTCTAGGTGACCTTTCTCTAAATGAGACGCCGTACAGATATCAAAATAATGATGAAAAATACGTAATCCACAGAGGAGCACGTAAATCTCACCAAGTCCACACCTAAACATATTAGTCTTTCTACTTGGATATTGTACTTTTCAGGCACACGCAACGAATACAAAACTGTTGATAGTTTAAAACAAAATACCTGTACTGTACAACCTGAAGGAAAAATCCCATGTGACACTCGGAAAATGCAGGCGACATCTATAGAACCTGGGAGATAATTTCGAAATCGGATGTCTTGAGCGTGGAAGTAAGAGAAGCCTCCACTTCGCAGAAAAAATGAACAGTAAAGCATAATACAAATATTGATTTTTCGATGTAACTCGATCTTTCCCGATGTGACACACACTCTCGTGTATGTGCCGTCCGAGGAGTCCCTTTGGTACTTAACTTTCGGAATCATCAAATATTTCAGCAAAGCAAAACGTTTTTCGTATCACCACGGCATTTTCTAAGCTAACCCACGTGTTCAAGCTATAAATCACGAAAGCGGACATTGCTTTGGAAATTCGCCAATGTTACCCTCCGTCGTTGTTCAACGAATATTAAGGAACCACGGTTCGACGAATGCCTCCGAAAATAGATTTTATGCCCAGGGGTTTAAAGAAAAGAAACCTCGGACCTGATTGGATCGCCTCCAACGTTGAAGTAATGGGAAGAGTACTGCCGAGTACGAGGCTCCTCGTCTTCAGTTCCGGTACTGTGAAGCAGCTCTCCTCCCGCTGTTTCCATGGCAGTACCTCTGAAACAGAGAATAATTGGCCGAATGTGAAGTATTAAAAGCGGAATTGAAACTGAGGATCACACCCTTCGACGACGTCACATTCTTCGCAGTCAGGTCCGGTCGTCCGACGACTTGATGGTGCCGGATCCGGTCGGAAATATCTTACACTGAAACAGAAAAATACCGCAACTTCAGTCGTCTCATTTGTTTCTACATTCAAGAAGTAGAAAAAATAATCATCATGCTAGAAATTATTCACTTAGATCTTTAATTTGGTTCACTACGGATCAATGAAAAAGAAATAAAACCTGGCAGACTTCTCCTGCTCCTCTTAAGAGACGTGCCCAGTAAAACATTCCCCTCTATAATTTTTGTTCAGTATCTATCTGAATTCCTTCAACAGAAACATATCGATCTCGGATAATTCCACTTCAACGCTCTACAACTCAAATACTGACATGCCTTTGGGCTATTATTCTGGGGGACCACGAAAGAGAAAAACATTAAAAGTGTAACTACATGCTTTTCAGAAGGAATTGAGTGACTAAGTGGGGAAATGTACAATTACGCCCTGTCAACTCAGTTATCGAGCAGTTCAAGGTCCAGACTATCATTGATTCTAACTTTCTGCGGATCTTCCAGTTTTTTTCCCCGGCAAAAATGTTGGTGTCCCTGACTCAAACATTTTCTGAAGAAGAAGTTTTGTGGACGCCTTTGGAATTGACTGTATTTATATTAGTCCTAGCAGAGGATTCTTAAGGTAAGCTACCATAACCTCATTTCTTTCAGTTCCAATAGCTGTTTTTTTTTTCCTCAATGGACGCCCAGATGATCAATTGATTCTGGAATGGCAGAATCACGCTTCTTCTTTCTTTTTAAAATACAGTTGAACAGAAAATGCGGGGAAACGAATCGTAGAACTTGCCTTCCCCGTTCATCTGTGACTGTCAGCATCCCAGTGGCTACATTCCCGCCGAATTCGCGATCCGCAGTCAGCAACATTTCAGTCGGCGCTTGACCTTCGAAATTCTTTAGCTTCGCTTCTCCGCCAGTCTGATCAGCATATTCTGCGCTTTCCTACATAAGAGCAGAAAAAAGTACCGCATTAAGAAAGAAGTCATACGAATCATACGAATTTTGATCAATAAAAATGGAATTTTTCTCGCGTTCGTTTGGATACGAATAAATACGGTACATACAATTTCACCAAAAAAGGACTAATAAGAGGGTTGTCCTACTTAGGCACGACCTCGGTTATTTCTCAAATAGATATGACCGTGAAACAATTATAATACTGTATAGCCCAAGATGTAGAAAAGTTCTGGGATTCTTTTTCGGATTTTTAAAAACATTTTTCAATTTACCGCATGATGATAGAATCAGGGAAAAATTTTTCAGTTATGACTAGAATTCTCCAACCATGTCACAGGCTACTGAACATTTTTCAGACTACCTAAAAAATTGAAATCTTACTGTTATTTTATCCACTATCTCTTCTGTAGCTTGGATAATGGTCAACGAACTAAGAAATTTCGATTTGTTAACTGGCCTGAAAATAATGCTTGGCACCCTGTGAAATGGGTGGAGATTTCTGGCCGTAACTGGGAAGTTTTCTTTTAAAATTGAAAAACGTTTTTAATAATAGATAAAAATCCGAGAATTACAACATCGTGGTCTATAATCGCTATATAATCATTTTTTACAATTACTGTATACCTACTTTAGAAATAACCAAGTGGGACAATAAATCTCGTATAATCAAAGGTGCAGCAGTTCCTCCACAATAATCGGCGGAGCACGCATAAAACTGCGAGAGGAAATAATGCAACAGGAAAATGTGAAACAACGAGAAAATGAAGTGAAGAATTAAAAAAAAGAAAAGAATGAGCAGGATATACAGACATTCGGGCAAAGCCCCTGAAACATTACTCAAAAAACTCACATTGTAAGAAATGACGTACGCAGGGGTTTCGTACTTCTCCTCAAGCTCAGGCACAGGGGTTTTCAGCGACGGGCCCTCCGCAAATTGATAAACCGTGCCGACAGACACAATCACCTCCTCGTCGTCATTCCGCTTCATTTGAATGCTCGGGAAACTCGGACACTGCACCAACGTCGTGGCTCGCGTTTCGTTCATCTCCTTGAACACCCGCATGTGACGTAGGTGCGTCTGAGACAATTTGTTGGGCAACCCGTCAGGTGTTGCATCCACTGAGTAAGGAAAAAGAAGAAAGGCATTGCGAGCACTCCCGGAGGACAAGTCCCAGAAAGCCAAAAGATAATCAATGCCAATTAATAATTAATTAAGCCCACAAATTAATGCTGGCATTACTCAATGGAAAATGGTTTCCTGAAGCGTAGGTTTGCTCGTTTCTATCACGAAAGGTGAAGTATTAAAACAGTGCGTAACGAAAAAGTTGCCATAGGAATAGCGCGAGCTTGCGGCTTTTTATTTTCTTACATCCCTTCAATCTTTGGTTACAATCTTATTCATATCTTACCTCGTGAACCTCGTAGAACCTCTCACTCATACGTTATAAATATAGTTTGCGACTTTTCCAGTCATGTGCAAATTTATTCAGCAGTTTGTTGAATACAGTACGATAATTCGGTACAGGGAAATTTACGATCGATTTAGTTACTTAAGTAATAGCGGATGAACCAATTTTGAAAGCTGAATGATCGGAAGTAGAAGTTTTTACGCAAATGATTGCGCGTCACAAATAAACGTGAAGAATTTATTCTTTCGATACACTGCATCTAACTCGGCGAAATTTCAACGGCCTCATGATGTTATAGCAGCAGCAAACCCTTTGAAGATAGTCACTTATTAGAGGTGAATCCACAATTTTCGAGATGATCGAATTGTAATCAACGATTCAATCAGGTGGATCCCATATTAAGACTACATCCCTCACTTCTTTCCAGCATTCCGGTTGAAGTGCGAACAGCTTTGTGTTCCTTGTCTGAAGATGATTCGGACGAGGATTCGGGGTAGAGATTCATCATGGAGGCTACGCTCATGCTGTGGGGGGTGGAGGGCTTCGATGTCGTCATCTCGTTTCCTGGGAACAAAGAAGAAATTATCAGAAAAACTGCGAGTTGGCAACAATTTCAAAGATAGTATAACTGTTGGTCAAGAAAAAAAATTTTTTCCAATTTTAAACATAGGCTTTGCTGTCTGAAGATTGAGTTTCCTCATGAACCCATGACGAAGGAAATGAGGTAGTTCAATGAGATGGTGTTGAAACAACAAAAGCGTAACAATCATTACATAGCAAAAATAAACTTCACCCATCGCGAAGTATATACAGTAGTTCGCATTGTCCTATAAAAACAATTCTGCGAGGCTGGAAATGATAAAATTGAACGAATCGCTTACTCGAGTTATTTAATAAAAGCTGCACTCATAAAAAAAAAAAAGAATGCATTCCAACTCGTGACGATCGAACAAATTACAACAAAACATTCAGGATTCCGCAAGACCTTTTCCCAAAAGCACAATCCCAACGCTGATTTCACGTAATTTGTAATCTGTTCGGAAAACTTCAGCAAATACTGCACTGTACAAACAATCGTCGCGGAAGACAATATTTTGTTGACCCCAATGAGACGGCGAACTCTTCTCAATTTCCGTTTTCGAGAAAAATATCAGAAAACATATACATCCCTAACATAACTTCAAGCGATTCTAAAGCTTCTCCAAACTCGTTTAGTGTCGTCAAAATTTTTGGAGGATATTTCTCTCGTACTTTCGTCGCATGCGTGCGTGAAAAAAAAAAAACACTGAGATGAAGTGTTCATACGGAAATGCTGTCACCGTAAGTCCGTAAAATACGGAAGTGTGGTTACTATGAACACCAACCTTGTTCGACATCCTGATTAGATGGAGACCACTTAACTCCTCCACTTCGCTTGTCCGCAATAGGAAACTCTTCCAGAAATTCGTCCGTTTCTTGCGCAGACTCGAACAACGCGATCTTATCCCGGATTGACTTGAAATATATTTGAGAGTCAGGTACAAGCACGATTGATTCTTCGTTTCTTTTATCAACATGGGACGATTTTCCCTTTCCGGCTTTGGCAGCATCAGCCTCCAGCAGGTTTTCGAAAAATTCTGCTTCTTTCAGTCGCAGAGTGCTCCGGGTGGAATCAATTTCTCCATCTTCTGCATCGCGGTGAAATTGTTCGTCATCTGACGCCAAATAGGAGCCCATCCGAGATCCCTCTGTATAAGAAAAGAAAACCTTTTATACAGTACCTAGTTTGAACGTTTTAATTCGATAGATACAAGGGCGTTAATGACGGATTTGATTAGTTGTTACATCACAGCGTCGCGTGACACATTTTAAAATTCACAGTTGCTCAAATATTTCATTTATCGATTTATTTTCATGCTATGATGACATATGTCAAGCTTATGCTGGCCAAGTCGTCAAGCTATATAATCAATTGCAAGATACTCAATTTGATTGGGGTTCGGGCTTTGAGCTGAATCCGTCCAACATTCAAGAAAATTTCAATGAAACAGAGGATTTTGTTCGCGACGTTTTCAAGCAGCCGCATCCGGACTACTGCATTGAATGAACGGTATTCGGCAGAGATACACGTGATCAGATAAAAAAAAGGTAATATTTTTCATTAAAAATCCGGAAACTTTGAAGCCTCAAAAATAATCGTCTATCGTGGCCTGCAAGAACTCTCCATCTCTGCAATGTGGCCCTCGGCGACAAAAAAAAAAAGTATTAGTAATGTGGCTGAGTTGGGCAGCACTACTGATGATCTCATGTGAAACCGGTACATTTTCTGGGGTTCACAATGAGTTAGCGTAGCAATTCTCCTCAATTAACCCTTTGACGAGTCATAATCTTTCCAGATGCTCATAAATTATACTCTTCGAAATGACACATCAAGTCCATCACAATAAGCAAGCACATGTACGGTATACTGAGTGAACTGTAGAACAACTGTATGATGAGTTCCTCCATCGATGAAGTAAAGGAGAAAAAAAATTTCAAGTAAGAAAATATTTGCGCAACATTTGTTCCCTGAACTGATCGCGAAAATCAAAATCACATCATAGAGCAAACTTGATTTTTATTTATTTAATTCGCCAAGCATCTAAAAAAAAAAAAAACTTGCCTGCAGACGACTGTATAGAATACATGTCCTTGCCAAGATGCATAACACTCTCTGGCGGGAAGCCCATCACCTTCTTGCCTCCTTCAATCGTCATCGGCGTCACTCCCGGCGGCGCCACCGACTTGATCACGGGCCTCAGGAACGGGCCTCGGAAAAAGTCCGCATTCTTCTTCGCAACGCCGCCGTCTCCCGCACTCCTTCCCTTTGCTTCCCCATCCTCGTCCCCCGTGTTCGACACCAGGTCTTCGTCCACGATGAACGGCAGCGATTGGTATTGTTTCCCGTCCCTGTGATGGTGCAGTGGTCGAGCGGGATGATGATTCGACGACGGAGAATGAGGCCGCTGCGACGGCGGCGCGGAAGACGGTATCCGAGCAGTTGTTTGAATGCCGTACGACCGGGATTTGACGGCAGGCACCGCGGGGTACGGGGTGAGCAGGTGATCGGGGCGGATTTGGGGTTGGGAAAAGTCTTGCCCGGATTTCTGACTCGTGCGTGTAGACCGATTCGAGTTCGACACACTGAAATTGAGCACACAAAGACGAGGAAACATGTTACTCGAATATCCTTTTGGAATCTAGCCAAACTATAAAATAACTGTACAGTGGTGCCTCATACTTAATAAACTTACTCTGACCATTACAAAATATACATACAGTGTATTTGTTGAACGAGTAATGAAAAACCAAGTGATATGACTAATTTTTTCCAGTTTGCCAGGCAAAGTAGAGTGCAATAATTGGAGGCAACCGGAGTCCATTAATTACGACAGACGTCCATTATCCGGGGCATCACTGCATTTTTGTATCAAGGATATTTCCTCGGGCAACAAATCACAGCAGGTGAAGATTCGTTTCAAGGTTTCAACGGAAAAAGGGGGAAAGGCCGGAGAGGCAAGATAAATATGGCCAAAGTGGCAAAATGTAATGCCTCAAAAACCATCTCAATTTATGATGCATAACGAAATGAAAAGATGCAGTATACTGTAGTAGCATTGGCTTCAGTTATTTGTGATATTTTTTGATATTGCATATACGAGGGTTCTAACAAAAGTTCTCGGAGTAGCAATGAAAATGGCATACAATTGAGCTGAAAAAATTTATTCTNAATGGCATACAATTGAGCTGAAAAAAATTTATTCTCTAGCCAAAACATATTCTTTGGCACACAAAAAAAATCAGCCCGGTTTGACAATTTTTTTTTAAATTTTTTGAAAAATTCATTCATATAGAGCTTTGCTCTCCACTCAAAAAATGAGGCGCCCTTTTTTGTTGTAGCCCAGCTTAATTTTTGAAATCAGCTTGGCATTCTTTCCAAGGGTTGCCTCCATGTCATCCAAGGCAATTCCGCCATTTTCATCAATGGCGGCCAATGTGGCGGCTGTGAAGGCGGCTTTTGATGAAAATGGCGAACCTCTATGAGTCAAATACTTTGATAACTTGAATTGTTTTCCAGTCCCTGTCTGAATTCCCTCAGAAACAATGCATCAAAAACCTCCCTAACTCGAAGTCTTTTTCTCTAAAACCTCTGTAATAAGTAAAATTTTCTGAGGCCTTTTGGTTACCAGTTCCTTGACATATGAAAGAGAAAATCAATGAAGCAAATTATTTTATGCATCTCGAAATGAAGTGAAAGACTAATTGAACAAGTGAACCCCTCCATCCAAGTTCAGCAACCTGTCAACTCATGAATGAGCAAGTTCAGGCCCAGAATATCCTTGTTCACAATTTCCTGAAATTTTTTAATTATCCTTGCTGTAAAAATGAGATCGTTTCCTCAACTCAAAACCTACAAAATCAAAACCCCCAAGTTGAATTTTTTTCCTGGTTCCTAAAAATTTGACTTGGAGAGGTTCAACTGTAATACAGTATTGCTACACCTTGAAATACTGTACCTATATTCAAGTGATACCACTGCATATCATGGCATACTACTCGCAATTAAATGCCTTCTATATAAACAATTTAAAAATCCCCACGGAGACACGATCAATACAAGAAGGACAAAGATTTGTCTGTAAAAAAAATATATGGCGATTGAACAACCATAAATGCTTGAGCGTTGATCTCTGTGATTGTGCTGCACATATTGACAACTGCTGTGTAAATAATACTGTATTAGCACTCTTGCTTTTCACACGAATTATACTTCATTACGAGGAAATGTTGAGGCCTTGTCTGTTTCCAAAGACCAAAGTGGTAACATATTCACAAGCACACACAAAAAAAGGACGAACAAGTCTTCGTCAATTATCCCTCGCATACGGAAATGCTGATATTAAATGAAAAGCGTTGTACACAGTACTTGGGTCTCGCTTTCAACTGCTGCTCGTTGATCGCCGGTTTGACAAACTGTCGCATGGTTAAACTCCTGTCGACCCCGTTCGGCGAGAACCTGACGTCCTGCTGCTGCTGCTGTTGCGTCCCTCCAGCAGCGTGCTTCTGACTTCGGCGACGGTACTCTTCAATAAGTTGCAGGTCATCGGCCGTCACGCGCCCGTGCTGCTGCTGCTGCTGCTCCTGCTTGCCGTCGTACGGAAGCATCACGTGACCCGGGACTGACGTCTGGGCCGAGTCCGTGTTTTTCCCGTGAGAAGAACCGCTGTCGGGTTGACACAGCGGGGTTTGATAAGACATCGTCGTTGGGAAATGGGGTTGAGTCGTCTGAGAGTCGTCCGTCATGGTGATGGGCGGCATGGTGGTGGAGAAATTGTTGTACGTGTACTGTTGTTGTTGTTGCCGACTTCGTTGAGAAACGAATTCCGGCGTTTTCGACTCTCGGTTCTCAATGACGATCTGTAATCATAAATACAGTACATAACAGTGATTGCTCCATTATTTAGGCTAATGGCCACCAGATGCCGTTTTCCACAATATCAAAATGACGGACATCACACGCCACGGTCTGTTTGGCACTGAATACTGCAACTTAATTCTCCGACAAAGATGAAGGGGAATAGAAAGGTTTGTGAGGTTTTTTTTGCAGAAAGAGCAAGGTTTTCCAGTTTGGAATTGATTTTTACTTCGCAATTCAGAGGCCCCAAATTTAAGAGCACGTACTAAAATATCTCCTCGACGATATAAGGAAATATTCGAAATGCGCGTTAAATCGTAATTCATTTCCATGATACGTGTACAGCATATTTCTCATGGGAAACCTTTGGCATCAAGTTCTACATACCGCATCTCCTGACCAATATATCTTCAAGAGTTTATTTTAAGACATTTTCACAACTCCGAAGAAATCAATCGATCGGTTATTAATCCCTTCCATCATATTTTAGTATGACATTTCCCGACAGAGGTCCGAGCACGAAAAACCCAGCTAGAAGAAAGTAAGATTGTTCCGAACAATTGAAGTTGAAAATGGGTCTCACAAACCCAACCCATCAAGCCATGATTCGAATCACGGAAAAAAGTTACTTCCTTGTAATAATACATCATTGATATTCTTCTACAACATCACAGCTTTGTTGAAATCATATCAGTGTGTGAAGATCAGTTTACATTTTTGGATTCTTTTTATACGCAATCGGGCTTCCCAGATCTGTATTCTGTCGAACAGTACCGATAATTCAACAGTCGAAGGTCGCGCACTAAAAAAAAAAAGCCGTGAAATTTTAATTCGAACCATTAATCAAGGGCAAACAATTTCATCCAATTTACAGTAAAGTTTTATAAAAACGATTCCCACGCACCTTATTGTGAGCTTGAGCAGATCTCAACCGTTTCATCCGTCCCACAAATTCCAAATACTCTTGTCGACGATCTTCCACCTGGGCAACTTCCCTCCAAGCAATTCTCCGCTTACTAGGATTCTTATTCTGACGCGTCGTGCTGCTGAAGGGCACCTCACGTTTGCTCCTAATCTTCTCGCCCGATGGACGAAATCTACGGCTAATCAAACACTTCTCAGAGCGAAAGGGATCCGGAGGCGCTGTTTCCGTCCTTCGGGCTTCCCTATGGACTTCCGTTTCCACCTGGACCGAAAACGGGCCATTATTGGCACTTAATGGATTTCTACTTGTCGCAGTTGGGCGTAGTTGCGTCGGGGCGGCGGCTCGAGGCGGACGACCGGCGAACAACGTCCTGTCTTCTGCTGTTCTGTACGGATAAAGTACCATTTGGAATTTCAACTCGACTATGATGAAACCAGGAATGCCTTCCATACACTATATTTAAAAAAACTGAAAAGTTTACTAATCAATTGAGCTAAAATCACAAGAGAGATTTCAAATGTGATCCATATGTGCGACAATGAAGAAACTGTACTCAGTGACAGGGGCGATTATTTTTATTAATTCGCGAATCAACTTTGAAGGCACAAATTCAGTTCCGTGGGTGAAGGTATCAAGGATTCAAAATTTGAAAATATTATCATTCATCTCTGTTAATGGCTACTGCGAAGGGCGAATTTTACAATAAATAATCAGAACCCACTTCGAGGAATAATTATTTGTACTGTACCATTTAAAAATGCATGACAATTTTTATTCAACTTGTATGCTAACTATTTCAGTCTATTCTTCTCTTTGTTTAACTTATTCCATGGATAATTCATGAGAACATATATTGAATGCAGCAATATTTTAGTTTGTAGACTTGAAATGGACAACCATAATCGGCAAAAAGAGAGTGAAAATTATTGCAGCCTTAGAGTACAGTATAATGCACACACATGTGACGCAAAAAGGAGAAAGCTATAATTCTATGCACGAATGTGGAATTACCGTATAACAATTTAATACGGCTGTTTTTAAATGGGTAAAATGGGACCTAAGTATAACGCGCACATTAACCTTCTAAAACTGCGTAAATTTATTTATGCCCGCTTACATGACGCGCATCTTATTTTTTTAATTATATTTCAGAAAAAAAAGGTGCGCCTGGTACTCGAGTAAATACGGTAATTCATTCAGAGAACGGAGTCAAGACAGCAGAAAAGATTTTTCAATCTGCATCGAAAGCTTTTGAATTCTTTATTTTGATGCTGAAAACAAAATTTACCCTCAACAGGGAATAAAATTTCTGTTTCGAGTAAGTCAATGACTCAGAACATTGAATATAGGGAGTACACACTAATCTACCGGGCTCTTTCCGCTTCAGCCCCGACCGTCCTTTCTGAAGCATCACATAGATGTCGCATGGCCTGGGAAAAGTTTGAGTCATTTGAAACAAATTAAAGTACAGTACCCTACTGTACTGTACACTTACAGTAATCAGTGCATGTGCTGTACAGCAGTTACAGATGGCTGCATGACCAAAGTAACCTACTAAGGTTATGCAAATGTTTATTGGAATGTGAAAACTGCAAGAAACCATTATGTACTGTTGACCCCCGCCAAATGGATTTTGATACAGACCGCCCCCAGCTGAGGCGGGTTCCCTCTTGCGCAACCGACTAAATTCGCATAATGGACTTCAGTCTGTTACAGTGCGTGCTGCCAGCAGTGGACAGTAGTCCCTCACATCCTCCCTTGCACCCCAACTTGATTTAAATTTTAAAAAACGTCATTCTTGTTGGTGTGAATGTGTCTGTTGTGTTTTTGAGTTCTTGGTTGTAATCTTGCTTGTTTCTCTAATTTCCCCCAAATTTTCCTGTTATATCTTCAAAGGAAAACCAAATTAAAATTTGCAACATGCAAACATATGGAAAAATTAAACTTCCATGACAGACGTTTGACATAACAGTCTCATCTGTTGCATGAATCAAGTCCATTATGCAGGGGTTGACTGTATCGTCACAAACATTTCTGGATTTGGATACGTTGGAAAAATAAGAAGGAACTCCATTTTGTACACATTTCACAGTGTGTATCATTCGGAGATCATAATTCAAAGATTTTCTATCGCTGTTTCTCTATAGAAATCACATTGAACAAAGACAGAACAATGATCTTAAAAAAAAAGAAGAAGAACCTGAAGTTCAAATTCGTATAAGAATAACAGAAGAAAACGTGCCGATACGTGTAAATCATACATAGTCTTTTATAAATAAATGAATGCAGTAATTTAATAAGATTTCAAATAAATTTGTGAAGATGGTAAAAGGCAAACTGAACAGCGTTTCAACTTTTCTTTCAAAAATTGGAACATAAATTCCAACGCTAATACCGTAATTAGATTTTGCCTATTTCTGAGTAAGGAAACCCGGACATATTTCAAAACACTATTTTCTGATCCCATTTTCTGCTGAAAAAATGATCCCCTCCCCTGAAAATAAGTGTTTGCTTTGTATTGAACAGCTTCAAGAGTGAAGTAATACCTTATACGAAATAAGATCAGTGGGAACTCACGCGAGATCAAAGTAACCAGGCACTTCGCACTCCTGCACGTGGACAGGATGTCGACCTGAGTTTCCTTGGCAGCGGAGCTTCAGATCAGCTTCCATTACACCTTCGTTCTCCAAACAATGCGCTTCTTCTTCTCGCAAAAAGTACAGGAAATTTCCGTCTCGGTCCGGCATTCTGTACTTTCTCGGCAGCTGCTTCTCAAAGACTCTGTATTCCAACGAAAGTCATTTCTATTGCCATTCAACAGAATATTAGATTTCGGAAAGACATTAGCACACACGTACAGTCCGAGGCTGTCATAGAGATGCAAATCCCTTCTCGCAAAAAGGTAATCGGCCCATGATCGAATCGTCGCTATGTGGAAACAAGACATCGGTGAACCTCGAAACCTATTCAAAGAGCATACAGAACTTTCATCAATCACACTTTTCGGGCCAGTGTATAATAGGCAACCAAAAAAATATAAATTCACAAATATCAGAACTACGCGAATATATTCATCATAAGACATTGCATCATACAACACAAATAGCTGTCTTAATTTTTTGGAATACATGGCTTCTTAATTTGAAATCTGTGTTGCGTATTCTCATTACTGAATTTACAAATGGAATTACTGTACAGTATAATGACCTCATCAGTTCAAGACTATGAATTAATAGACTTATAATCCAAAAAATGCGAAACAAGATACGTGGTTGCGACCTGTATATTTTCCAGATAATTTTATGGATACTGTGCACATGAGACACCCATTGAAAGATTGTACGATTTGTACAGTAATTTAAAATTCCCGCGGATCTCAAACAATTAGTGCCCGAGAATTGCACCCATATTCTCATTTCTTTAAATTTTCATTTACGAATTTCGCGAGTTTCATATATACACGCGTAGGCCGCATTTCTCCACAAAAAATTGCTCAATTCTTCACTCTAAGCAACTCTTTCCCTCTGAAATTTGTGTTCAACATCCGGTAACGGCCAATATACGGACATGAATAAATTTTCAAATCCATTCCCTAACTTGAAAAAGTTAACATCTTTTCGACACGGAGGCGTCTCGCCAGCGACGTGAAAAGATTTAGAATGCACCATAAAAACCCGACATGATGACACCAACTCCAGATGGGTATACACCATGCCAAGTATGCAGCATTGCGAAGAGGCAAATTTTCTTTGAAATAAATATTAAAAAGTAGAACAATGGAATCAATAAAAAAAATTTGAGCTCACGTCTGCAAAATTTTTCTCCATTTATACTCACGTACCAATGAGGGATTCATTAGTTTACAGTACTTTGCTTTTACTCAAGTTCCCTATGTTTCAAAGCCATGTTTGGAACAAAACGCATGTTCCCCGTATATATGAGATGAGACACAACTGTACTGATTACCTGAGAATGAAGACCCAACGAAGGACAGAGCAACTAACAAAGGTGAACACAGCCAGCATTATGCCGATCAGGAGCAGACCAAGAACGTCCACTGCAGCCATTGTGCTTGTATTGGTTATCCATGGGATCATGCGGCCTGTGAATTACATATTCACGAGTTTTTATTTCATTTTTACTCTTAAATATATTTTAAACTTTTTTCAATGTCTATACCCGCCTATGACACACCCCCTTTTATCCCTCGCAATTTTGAGAAAAAAGGTGCGCATACAGTACTCAAGCAAATAATATGTACAGCAGTGATTGAAATGCCGGTTTGAACATTTCCCACTACAGTACTTCACAAAACGGATAGTTCTACAACTTAAAACAACAAAAAAACTCAACAGTATCTTTAGATCAGGTTCATACTTGGTTTGAGGACGATCTCCCCAGTGGTCTGGTCTACTGAATAAAACCCCGGGGGAGGCGTCGGGGTCGGGGGAACCCCACGGAATTGCCGACTGTCGAATCGCTGCTGGCGATCTTCCATGTCATATCCCATTGGCTTCGGGGCATTTGCCAGAGTGCTCGGGTCAGGCGATGGATAGAGTCGCTCCGGCTGAGCATGCGGAGGAGCTGATGTTGCTGGGGCTTCCCCGGTTTTCTGCTGAAGGAATGCATATATTGTGGATCCATAAATGAAAGAAAAAATCAGTGTTCATCTACATTGTATTCAATTGTTTTCTAGGCGAAAATTTTTTAAAGAGTGAATATATAAAGTTGCACGTCATCTCAATTGAAAAAAGAAAATCAAAAATCAAAATTTACTTTCAGAAAAAAATGCCTCAGTTTTCCAAATAAAACTCGTGGTTCTGCACTTGTTCAGAAGCAGCGTTAAATATAGCCAGGACATGGTTATAAACACGGAATCTGTACAAATTACGGAGTTGGGTCCCCGAGATGCGGACGTACAATAATTATTCCTTGGACCTTATCCTTTTCAGGAGCGCCTACACGTCAACTCACGTTTTCCCATAGACTTCAATGGGAACATATTAAACTTTTTTCTCCTGTTTTGTTTATAAAAAATTGAGAATGAAATCCCCAAAAAATTCAATAAAACTTTTTTTCAAATTTCAAGATGCAGAAAATAACTATGCAAAAGAACACGGCACAGATTGTGATCTTTTGGCATCAGAAGGAGCTCAAGAAGCAAAGAACAAGTTCAGCAATACTGTGCAGAGATGATAGAAAAACCTCTGGAAAAAGAAGGAGGCAAAAAATAAGCCTGTTTCGGATTACGATTCAAGTGATTTTATTATTAAAATTATTTTTATCTTCATGAAGAGAAATACAGTAGCTCAATTTCTTCAAGAAATATTACGATTTTCAGAAATCCTGTTTCCCATATTTCCGGAAATTTTGGTACGACATCCGCATTTCAAGACATTGTCCGGATATCGGGGCATATATTTCTTCCGTTTTACGTGTTCCTTAACTGAATTTCCCGGACGTCAGGGACCCAACGTATTAGGATATAGAAGGCAAAACCAACGTCTTTGTCTTGTTCATCTTGAGCAGCAGATCGTTTCCTCCTTTTCGAGATCCACTTGGTAGCGAAAAGCTTGCCGTCCGAGTCCTCGCTCAGTTTCCTGACGCGCGATTGGACGTATTCCCGAACAGCGGCCAGTTCTTGCTCAGAAATAGGGAACCCAAGAAGTTCCACGCGACTCCAATTGAAGGTCGGTTTCACGTAGTGTCCGAAACTGGTGGGCACTTGACTGGAAACAGGCATCAGTTAGCGTGGAAAACATTCACGTCGGGAGAAGGGGTGAGGGGCGTAAGTTTTGGGAACTCATCAAACAGCCAGATTCGAATGAACTCCGGAGAAAAACTTCCGACGGTTTTTTTTTTTCGTGCACTGAAATAGGGTCAAACTTCAATCCTATGGAAAAATCGCAAGAATTACAGCGATTATTGCATGTGTTCCTTTGAGATTCTGATGAAAATCAACACGACTTTCAAAATGTTTCACTCGTAATTGAACAGCAGAAAAAAAGTACACTCCTCTTTTTGGCCACGAAAAAATGTTGACCTGAAACATGAGTCGAATTAAAAATCGTAACAGATTTACTTCTGGGTTTCCCTCGAAATTAAAACGAAATCAATTCCCTCGAATTCAAAACGGATTTGCGGGCTCATATTCCAACTCCATATTTGCATGAGTTGACTTCCTCTCGGATACATTTTACGGAAATACGACAGCAGCATTCATTATTCATTAAAAAATTTTAAAAAATGGTATAAAATTATACAGTAATTGGTTCCGGAGTACTGCATGAGATCTTATACTGACGAATTTTTTCGTTCATTCTTACAAAATTTGTCTTCCGACGGACTTGTTAAAACCTTAAGGCTTTAATTGATAATGATTTGACTAAGTCTTGTTTTAAAAGAATGGATCTCGCATTTGAACGTATCGATTGGACTTCTTCGTTTAGTTTTAAATTGTCGGGGAAGTGAACAGCACTTATAGTCAGTAATAGTGTTATAAGGTGAAACTTGACGCATTTTCATCGTGTAGACCTTGACTTTAACAAGGTGAAAACCATCAAAAAAGCGCAGTAAAAAAGCAACGATAATATTTCGTCAAAAAAGTAATAGTCAAAAATCGAAAGCGCGTGTTCTTCAGACGTTCTCCATATCCACAGTGTCATCAGATAAGCATTGCTTCCAATTTTCACATATCTGCAACAAAAATCAGTTTCAACGATTTATTTTTATGAAGAAATTTTGCTCAGCTGACCTCATTTTTCAATTTTTTCAACACTCCGTCGGAGAAATTGGGGGAAGAGTCAGCGTCGTTCTCCGAAGCGGTAATTAGACTTGACTCTTCGATCAGCAGGTACAGGTTTCGAACGATTTCTGGTATGAAGAAATCGGAAAAATTTCGCCGATTTTTCGAACCTAAAAATATATATATCAAAGCACGTTCAGAATTTTCCCCTCATTTTTAATGAACTTACAAGCACGGAAGGCAACCAAAAACTTAAAGCAAATGTCCAACGGTCTGGAACTCGAACGAGTGAAGGGCTGGTGATTTTTTAGAATGTTTTCCTCGACGACATTGTTGAAGCGCCGAAAGTGCAAGATAAGAGTATGAACCATCAGCCGCATTTCATAACCTTGAATGAAGTCCTTGAACTTGGAAGAATCAGAATGTTCCAAATACTCCAGAAACTTCATCAGGCATTTCATAGAATGATGCGATGCCGTCTGGAATTGAAAAAAAATGTACGCACGTAGTATATTTATCAACATATATCAACATGGGTCCGACCAATCATTGACTTTCTTCGTCATTAAATTAGGTTATCACGTAAATTTTTTTCATTAAAATCAGCGGCGGGCGGCTTACTACACTCGTCCATCTGAGGTTCTGGACCACATTCTGTTAATTTTTTAGAAACTAAGTAGATCAGTCGACACCTGCCTAATGACATTCAAGAAGACCGGCCAAGAAAGTGAAGCGAGAAATGGAGGAATTTTTCATCACGCAAAAAATGCAAAAAGCGGAACGAAGAGCTTACTTCGCAGATGTCATCCAACAAGAACTCCGTCAGTTCCACAATTTCCTCATCAGAGAAAATTTCGAAGACCTGACCTCCGGCTGGAAGAGAAACTCCAGAGACCTTTAAAAATGGAGGATTTTCTTCCGATGCGTTCAAAAGTTGCGAAATTATCGCAGAAATCAAAGCAAGCGACTTTTCTTGAACTTCGCGATTCTTCTTGCGTAAAAGATGGAGTAATTTTTGCTTGTCGATAACAACATCTGCCTGCCGCGTCATCTGAAGAACAAAAAGGGGACACTGATGAATATGTATGGATGGCGGATTACAAAAACCTCCATCGAATTTGCACTTGTGTGATAATTCATAAAACGATTGGAACCCTGTAAAATACACGAAAGTTTTTCGAAATTAGGTCTATACCTCGTAAAAAAAGGAACAGTTTTCAACATCTGAAAAATTATACCAAAATGTTCGGAAAAATCACTTACCCTTTGGTCGCCGTGACGAAATCCAACGGCAAGAAATTCAATGACAGAAAGTTCAACAAACAGCAGATTTTCTGATTCAAAGCTGCCACAATTGAAAATTTCAACAGCAATATGAAATGTGCGTTCCGAGATTTCTTTTCCGAACACTGTAAACAAAACAAAACAATTACGATTACCTTTCTATAAACGCTATCGGAATTGTGATTTTATATCTTCAAAGTGCCTATCTTTATTTAGCAATAAAAGGCAAATTTAAATAATTTTTTTTCTTTTTGATTGATGCATAAAAATTTAAACTGAGATAGACTCTTATACCATTATTAAATCGAATAAGTTCAAGATAATCTAGCCCTGAAAGAATGAAAGAAGTTTCATGACTTTACACATGTTACAGTATAATATACAAGAAGATGAAATTTACCCAAAGCCTAACAATAAAAAATTATCCTAATTATCTACACGAAAAGTACGAAAAAATTCAAGTCGGTGAGCGAAAAAAATAATATACATACCAGAAGAGGCCGCTCGGCAGCTTTTGTTCTCTTCGATAAACTTCGCAAACAAAACGAACACAGACGCCAGAGAATCCGCGTACAACTCAACACGCTTCTTCTGACTCTCTGCGCAGACGGATCCCACACGAATTCTATTGATATCAGCACTAGCATCATCGCTGAAGACCGACCCCCTGAGCTCGACAAAATTCCGGTAGAGCAGTGGAACCAGTTTTGCAAGCCTCGCTACCGAACGACGATTCGTTCGTTTGCCACAACCACCATAAGAGCTGCTGGAAACCAGTTTTGTTGATGAATTGTCGTCTTTCTGGGTGGCTATGGATGAAATCTGCGAGGAGAGGGCAAACGCAGAATTCGAGTCCTGCGTCCAGTCCATTCCACTTGAACGCTGTTGTTCGCCAAACGAGAGAGATGATTCGATGTCGGAATTTTCTGCGGCTTGCGAATGGTTTGATTCAGTGATCTTGAGCACGCCCGCCTCGGACAACATTTCGATCAGCATCACGAATTTCACGAGCAGGTCATCGGCTATAAGAGGAAAAAAAAAACTTTAGGAAACGGTACATTACAGCAGCACACGAAAAAAAAAAAAAAAAAACTAGGATATTCCAGAGAATTTTACGACAGAACAGCATGTACTCAGCTAAGGAAAGTAACAAAACAGCAAGTGAACCTCTGCTGTTGAAGAGATTTCAAGTTCAAGCATTATTGCACACGGGAAAAAGCCAGCACACGCATATTGCTAATGTCGATGCGCGAACAGATGGGCATACGGACGATCGACCCACAACAACAAATAACCCAGCTGCAGCACCGAAGTTCCTTCCTTCATTACCTTTATAGAAGTCCCACAAAAAAAAAATTCTGTACAGTACTACATATTATTCTTCGCGCATTCTATTACACTAAAAAAAAAGAACGAAACTGATTTATTTATTTAAATCATGCACTGCGAAAGCACAAAAAACTCCAAACCAGAACCAAAGGAAATCTTTTCTCACGCGAAAATAATTCACCGTTTACTTACACACATAAGTCCACTTTCATCAGAGCCGCACATATTGAGTTTTCAATCAGTTCAAAATTCCATTGGTCCATCATTTTACTGTAATAGTAATTCGTGCATCCGTAAAATTTTTCATGAAACTTAAAATGAACAATTAGGTGACTCTTCCTTCAGGAAGAAGGATACTCACTTAATCCCATAATCCAAGACACACACTGATTCTAAAGTCGATTTTCTCAACAACAAAAAGAACGTCTCTCACACGAATGAATTAAGACACTTCAAGTGCAGTAATACTTATACGAGGGTTGTTCGAAGGCGGGGCGTGGTTTTATACCTCTATGACGTCGAAAATTTTGAAAAAGTTTTCCTTTTGATATTTCATGCTTTCGACACTTTTTCAGATTTTCAAGATGTCTCTTCAGCATACCGCGTCATGGCAAGTTAAAAATTTCTCGTTACGGACGGAGTTTCGTTTAATTTCATAGCGTGCTCAAGATTCTTCAAGACGGTTGAAATTTTCGCATTTTTTACTGTGTTGCGTGTTTCTTTTTTCGTAGTTGATAAAAATGTATAATTTGTCGGATGTGTGTTTCAAACAAATTAAAATAGGATATTTGTGGTGATTGCAATGACAAGCGGTTCATTTCTATTTTATTTCTTTCATAAATATTCGCTGAAGAAAATGTATCCTGCCTGTGATATCATGATTTGTTTATCGAACTGGTGTTAAAAGTATCCGGATCTACCTTCGTACTGTTCATTCAAGTTGTCTGATCTACTAGCATAAAAGTTGCTCACTTTTTGTAGCAGTACTGGAACGATGATTTTTCACAAGAACGTCCTTCAGATCAGTGCCGACGATTTCCAGCATTTCCCCGACTTGCTCCAACAAAAGGAGATTCAAAGACGGCATCTTCCGCACATAGGACCTCAACTGCTTCAGCACCGTCATCTCTGCATATTTCACCATGTAAACCTACGGAGATCAACGTGTTACACCCCGAACCATGTTTCAAAACATTTTCAAAATCTTTAAATATGTTTTCCGCATTTAAAAATAGCAGAATTACCAACCGCCAAACATTTCACAAAAGCGGGAAGTTTGCAGCAACCGTCGGGAAAGTGGAAATCGATGGTATCCACTGCAGGGTCACCTTTGCCATTCGCCAGGGAATTTTGGACTTCCTTTCCAATCCAAAGTTTCAACTAGCAAACAATCGTACGTGAGTCATTCCTTCCATTGGCAATGACCCAGAATTAAATCCGTCACTCACGACACTCATTCCGCATAAAGTCGACCGAGAAATATCACGAAATGGCCACAGAAGGACAGCAGGGTGATGAACGTAACGCTCGGCGAAATCTTCACACATTTTCCCTCCGATTTTCAGTCGGTGCATCATCCAACTATCCAGCATCTTCAACGAGGCGCTTTCTGCAGCTTCGTCATCATCCTCTGCCATCTTGAGGAAGAGATACATACATGTCATTATTAAATCTCAAAAAGTTTTTTATATCAACACAGTATCAAAAAATAAGGGAATCGAATGTAGGAAACATTACCGCCAAACAAAACAGCAGAACTCGATTAAAGGCAGTTGTTTCCGAAAACCCAGCATTGGAAGGAAAGTGTTCATGCATTCGCCTCAAAATCTTCAAAAACAGCTCCGGTTCCATTATCCTGCGAGAAGTAAATGTTGAAAAAATCTCATCAGAAAAAGTAAACCAGCGAAACCGATGTGCAAAATGGGTCAACAGCATATGGAACTAACGACAAGCGCTCGTCCGGAGACGCATTATAGGCTTCGTGTGCGAAAAATGCGATTATGGAAGTGATCATCACAGCCGGCTCTTGAAAAGCATGATGTCCGGCACTTTTATTCCATCTCTGCGACTTCCGATTCAGATCAGCTTGTTTTCCGATGAAGGCTAATCCCTCGTCAAGCAGGCGGGTCCATCGATGCAAGGTGCCGATGAGGTCGTTGTCCCTTTCATACTTCAATGCCCATGAGCAGCACTTGATGATGAACTGCTCCAAAGAAGTTTTCTTCTCTCTAGAACTACATAATAAAAAAAAATTCATTGATAACCTTTTGATCACACCATCTCCTGAACTTTAGGATTTTACTTGCTTTGACGTAGGTGTCGCCCAAACCTTCCACGTTTCACCCTATGTTAATAATTATCAGTTTTTACCAGTTTAAATCGTAATTTTTGGTCAAGCTATGATAGTCATTCAAGCGATATGCCTGTTCGACAAACTAGAAAATGAGATCGGGTGTACACGAAGTGAAACGACAAATCTTCGGTATCATTGCTGAAAGAATGAAAATTGTTTCGCAAACGATAACGATCATTATGCTTCATGATTCCGAAGACCAAAAAAATTCGCGGATATCATAAGAGCGATTTCATATGGATAAAATTTGACTCCCGACGTATATTCTACAGCAAAATTGGTCAACGAAAGAAGAATGCAAAAATTAAATCACTCACGGGATTGCAAATAAAGCGTGGAAGAACACTGCAAACCACCCGGATTTCAGAACCAATTCCTCAGCCGAACCGGAAGAAATGAACAATTTATCCCAAGATTCATTCCCGATTAACTTCCTCCAGAAGTTTAGGTCCTTAATGCCGGATTTTTCCAACACACCACATCCTAGTTTCAACGAGGATATTACTAGTCGCATGAGGTCGATCACTCCCGAATCAAAGGCCACCTTGCTTCTATGTAATTCCTGCAGGAGTATATTTTGTCAAGTTATTGATGCGCGGAAATTTCGTTTACTTAATAAAAGAGAAGCGCAGGTACAGTATGCCAAATTCAACAGGTGGTGACGCGAAAGTTCTTTTAGAAATCGAGGATATACTCACGTTGACTTTCGGAAGACATTTCTTAAATATCAAGGAGATGATCGCACCAGCGCACTCAGAGTTATTCAACGAACTTCTGGGTTGTTCATCCAAGCTCAGTATCGACATGTTCATGATCGACGCGTTCAGCTTGTGCTCATAATCCCCGTCAGCAAACCTACATGGCATCAACAATGTCAATGAAATGTCTCTTCAGACCATTGTCTCGTGATCAAAATTTAATTTTTATCTGGAACGTAGAATACGCAAGCAGCATATTAATGCTAAGTAAGATATAGATCGGGTATTTAAATTTTGCTGTTTCAGGACTGATCTCCTTATATATAGTGATCAATAAATCTATAACTAAAAAATGATAGCCGCAATGACATAATCTCATGATGTATAACCGTTTTCATGATCGCTCGGATTTCAATTAAAATATATTTCACGCACGCGATTAAAATTGCGGTAGATTCTGATGCAAGAATAAGATTACGTGCAGAAGGATCACAAAAAATCCAGTCGGTGACTCATGCTGTAGGACACCTTCCTTCTTAAGTTCCATGCTATAGTTCAGCTAATCAATTTCACAAAATTATTGTACTTCCAACATTTTCTTCCACACCGATTGCTTTACATACAACTCCGTCTCCTTCTTTTCTTCTCCCTATGCTGGAGTTTTCTTTACGGAGCCATCGTTCTTATTTGTCGGTATAAACACTTATTCTCTATCCCTTCGTAAGATGAATTTATTTCGGGAATTACGTGGCACATATAAAAGGAAAAGGACTCAATAGAGGAAGTACGGGTGGACTCTATACAACGATCTTGTTTGCAACAACTTTCTCCTCGTAATGGGTTTTTGTTCGGCCACAAATCTCTCTATACTGATCCTCGGCAACGGATTTTTTGCTGGTCCCTTGAATTTCGTTGCAGATGAGGGAGTCTACCGGGAAGAAAAAGAACAGCGGGCGCTTTTCGAGAGAAACAACAAATAAATAAACTCACGAAGCAACAGCAGGGGAAGCAAAAGTAGTTACGAACAGCTTCAACCCAACGTTGGCAAAATTCACGACGCTTTCCTGTTCGATACAAGCTTCAAAACTCCGCTCGACCGTTATTAGTGCTGTCTTGACGCGTTTTTCTGCGACTTCCTCATCCAAGGAACACGCGATTGTGCCGAGCAGGGAACCCGCACATGCGAAAATCTTCGGATCTGCCCTGAATCCTTCGATAAATCGTGCTTTTCCTTCATCGTCTGAACTTTGAACCGTATTCATGTTGTTGCTGGTCGGAGGGCTAGACAACATTCCTGTGTGGCTCAAGGCGACGTCCAATATGTCCAGTATCGCCCGTTGATAATCGTCCAACGACATTTTAGTCCTTTAGAAATTGAATCAATATCTACTAATGAAGCTGTAAGCGCACTTCGATCCCGAAAGAGTACGCTGTCGAATCTAAAGCGTACAGCTCCTTGTTTATAATTACTGTGTGCGTCAGAAATGCTGTAGTCATCATGGCGGACGAACGAGTAAAAAAATCTTTCTATATACCTGACAGTATCCTCTAAATAAAAATTCCCTCAATAATGGCAAGCATTGATTGAAGTAGGTTCTCCGCGATTTTCTTCCAAGTACCCTTATGAAGTAGCTAGTTGCATATATTAAGTCGACTAAATCACCTAGACTCGAACTGAACCTACTGAAAAATTTATTCTTCCAGACACTAAACTTTCCAGAAGTTCAAGTTTGAAAAAAAAAATCTTGCTTCGGAGCTATCTTAAGCATTGGAAGGTGTTCTTGGGATAAAGGGGGCACAACGTCTGAATGGGTGCGCACTTCTTGGATCACCCAGGAACGAACAAGCAGCAATTCGCAGTGCTATTCCAGGACACGATCGATCCAAGTGTGGATCCCATGTCTCTCTGCTACATTCCAAATTGGAAAAGAAGTGCGTCTTCCCATTCGCATAGATATAGACTTGTGAGAATAACTGAATCAATACCTGGAGATGATGCCATCGACCAAAATCAAGCCCGAAGCGATCGTTTTCTGTATACACGTGTTTGACCTGTGACGAGTCACACCTTCTATAATGAAGGCGCGAAGCACGAGCAGAATTTTAGGAAGCACTTGCTCGGCTTGTTCTTCGTAAAAGCGTTCGTGTTCCGAGACTATCCTCAAAAAGGACAAGGATAACCTGAGGAGGATCCCCAAGCATTCAAATAAGGATAATAAATAACAAGTGCATCGTATTCATCTTCCCCGTCAGTGAATGCTGAGGGTCTCGATAATGTTGGCCCTCATAATTTCGGGAAGCATAATGAAGATGAGAAATTACGATTAAACTGAAAGCTGAAATATTTAACTGAAACATGGGATTTTTCGGGATAAACATTCAGCTTCGAGCTGCATCCATCGATTTCATTACAGCATTTTACCTGTTCAAAACAGGTTCAGTAGTGCTCATGCAATAGCGCACAACCGCCTCGACCAAATCAGCGTCCAAAAATGCTTCGATGAATCGCCGCTTGAATTGCGTGTTTCCGACATCTTGGCATCGCACAAGGTTCAAGCTCGATTCGTAATTATTTTCATTCCATGAAACCTGGATGCTCAGGCAACGCAACAGAATCGATAAAATGCGGATCTGAAAGATTAACAATTACATGCGAACATTTGGTTAAACTCCTGTACAGGTACACATAGGTATCTCTACTATACATCAGTCTCTGAAATACCGTATCTATATACTTCAGCACCAACACACGCCGTCGAGCAACACGCATCCTCATTTATTTGGCACACGTCCCTACAATTTTTAATAGAATTCAGTGCGAATTTGAAAATAAATGCTCACCTTCGTCGCATAATTCCGCTGAAGCATCCGTTTGGCCACGATAGTGAACACAAGATCCTCGCGGATATTCAACGTCAAAAGATATTTCCTCGCGCTCAAGCCTGAATCAACTGCTAACTGCAGGAGGGCTGCAAAATTGCATGAACATTCGGTGGGAAATCAAGATGGCGCCAATGAAGTATAACTTTTGATACAGGAGAAGAGGAAAAATTATTTGAATCAAATTCATTCGGACACTGCGATTACACTGAGCAAGAAAAATCCCGATTAAAAGCTGATATGGCCTACCACATCACATATATCTACAGTAAAATTCGAATACTGTTCAGTATACGGAAGAGCTATGGTAAGCTCGACTACTATACGGTTGCCTACCTCAAAAAAATTGAAAATCACGGAATTATCAGGAACCATCAAAATTGCATTCTACATGATCTGATGAAATTCGCATCAACAGAATAATTTCATCATAGTGAAGAACAGGCAAAACTTATCTTTGGTGGACGAATGCTACTGTATGAAGATTTGGTTTACGGTCGTATGGATGTCTTTTCACGAGCACGATAAATCGGAAGAAATGGTTAATCGAGGTTCTACCGGACATAAGAGAGCCTTCTAACTTGAACACATTTCAGTCACTAATTTAATAATCAACAGCATACACACGGAGAATTCCAATCGAGAAATTTTTGAATAAGAGCTGGCCTCACATAAAGCTGAAAGACATCCTTCGGGGCTCATATTATCGGAGTGACAGGCTTTCAAGCCAATGGCCACAATAAGCTCCGAGACGCGTGCTGAAGTAGTTTCTGGACTAGGCCCATCTTGGGTTTTGCTGCCCCTACTGCAGAAGTGACGATACATAGTTTCGACGAGCGAAAGTTTCCCTTGCACATTTTCAGCGCTCTCGCCAGCGAAGTTCTTCTCAGAAGCTGTCTTCAAAATAAGCAGGAATACCTTGTCTAATAACAAAGAGGGAGATATAGAAACAACAGCGCCAATTGTCAAGAGAATGTCACATACAGTACGTGTTGCTTCATCGAAAAGGGAGCAATAATTTCTCGCTTCAGAAACCTTCAGTTACTGTATTATTAGAATAAGAGAGTTCGATGACAGAAATCAATTTCTGACGCTAAATTATCAGATATTGCTTTGTAGTTATTTAGTTTTCACGTGGCTTTAGCTTTTTCAAGCAAAATTCCGAGAAACACACATTGGATCAATATTTTTCCGTTACCAAATCGGAAGAAAAAAGAGGTTAAATTCATCTTCTCAAGAATTCAAGATACATTCATAACTTTCCTCTGATTTTTAAGCTAATTCTCGGCACTAAAAATCAAAAATTCGTTCTTCCACGCACGTTTCAGCAGCAAGCATTCACTCAATAATTTCGTGATGAACTTGTACAGTAGTAAGCGCAGGACATGACATCACCATACGCCTCCCTTGATCGAATCGTTAGATGAAAATTCTCAAATCCAGTGCTCGCGAAAAATAAAACTTCTAACCATAGTGAAGAGGCAGAACTCGGAGAATATCCGGCTGCTCTATCCGAGCGGTGTCAAGGAACGTCCACAAAAAATCATAAGACCTGTGGATCACGTGTAGTCCCGTTGTATCCCCTACAGCTCGTTCCTTCAACGTTTTTTGCAATAGCTATAGGAATCAAAAGAATTACATTAAATGAAGAATTACATTACATGTAATTACATAATTACACGAAGAAAACTCCGATTCGATCGATTTTGCCGAGAAGAAAAACTCACCTTCTCCATTGTTTCCATCGTCGATCGCAACCCAGCGAGTATTTTTCTGCCATATCGCTTCGTGTTGACGATGAAACCAACCAACGCTGCAATTCGAGTAAAAACGGAGCTTTACAAGGACACGGAACTTTTTTCATGACGGTCATTATTTCACTTGAATGCCAAGAGAAACATTTCGGCGAATTCAGAAATTGAATTCAGCGTTTAAAAATTCAAATGCTGCAACAATTTTCTTTTTTTTTCTATTCTCACCTTCTGCACAGCGTCGACCTCCATCGTTACTGACGCTGCCTAAATCTGGAATGACGACAGAAAAAAAAACGCTCAAATATCTAATCCTTTACCCAGTCATGCAGTAAAAAATCGTTCACTTAACGCATTGCCGCATTCTCACCGAACAAATTTCGAATGAATTCCATCGCAACTCCAGGTTCCACGGTTGACATGAAATGGGTGACAGCGTTTTTGCTCCCGGCATCCGGTTTAATGTAGACCACAGCGAGCGAGTCGAGGATATCCATTCTCGTTTTCATCGGACGATTCGCGTTTTTCGAGAAACTCTTCAAACCACACAACGCACACCTTTTAGGATTTGCGGTTGCTAAAAATCGACGTTTCCCGCAGTCCACACAACTCCACGACTTCGGCGGTTCCGTAGACGCAGCGCTTTCCATGGCTGTGAGAAAAAAAATATTTCACAATACAGTAGAGACATAATTTTTGTAATGGAAATGTTGATTGCAGATCAAAAACTTCCGCATTCTCCCGATTCCCAACTCTTCGAAACTAGCCCAATCTTGAAACAGTTGAACAGTATTTTCTGCTTGGTCGGAGCTGTATATAATACTGTATACCACCTCGATCCTGTACATTATATCGAAGTTCATCTAATGATCTTTTCAATGCAAAAACTACGACGTTAGTTAACGAAGTTTATTGGTTCGAAAACTTCTAGGAGATTCGAAAAATACCCTTGAAAAATGATACTTCCTTCTTTCAATTTGATCGCGCTTCCGCCCTTTTCTAAGGCCCAAAAGTACACGGAACATTTTGCCGACATATTTATTTCGCTGTACTGGGTACAGTAATAGGTTTCGCTTCAGCTTGACGCTTAATTCCTTCTGACTATCTTCTGAAAAATTCAAAATTCACATTTTCGCTAAAAGCATAAAAAACAGGTTGACCAAAAATTTACTTTTCTAGTAAGACTTCCAGCAGAGGAACAATTTTGGTCTGAACAAATGTATCACAGATACTTGACCAATCGGCAAAATTTCTGCTCTTAAGTATATATGGGATGACACGTACTGTACTGTACTTCGAGCCCAGATTTGTACTCACCTCAACTGTAAATTTGAAAAAACTTCCGCGGACGATGAATTGAAATGTAATGTCAATTTCGAAAGCAATGCTTCAATCGGAAAGCTGAAGTAAAAGATTCTATGATTCTATACAAGACAGGAACAGGAAAAGATTGGAGAAATTGCATAAATTACCAGCAATTTGATTATTTAATGGATCATCAATCTTACAATTGCGGCGATGAGCTCACTTGTCTATACAGGTATAATTAGCATTCGCAATTGTTCAAAGTTGAGTCAACTCACACGACATGGACGAACCACGCTCCATCATTGTTCGCAGATTCATTTCACAGCACTCGGAACGTTCCTTTGAAAATGAACATAATTAAATCATCAGAGACAAGACGCATCAAAAATAAACGCAGACACATTTTAGAAAGAAATACACAAAAAACTTCATCATCTTCAGCACTTTTTTTTTCTTCGAACGAATTCATTCACGTAGCGGGAGGACATGTTGAAGATCAACGGAAAATTTATACCGGACGAATCTATTCGGAACGATTTTCAATTCTTGTCTTCGCGAACTTTGTCCAAGGAAGAGTCAGGACGGGGGAAAACGCCGGGATTGTACACCTGGTTTTGCTGAGCAGGCGAGAAGGGAATCCTCGGACGATTCAGTGGCGTCCAACACTGCTGCGGGTTTGCTGGTGGCCAACCACTGTATGTATACAATATTTCGTTATAACGCTGACAACCGGACTTGATCAAATCCGAGAACATTTAGGTAACTAAGCTGAACACTTAATTTCTGTTTTTCTTTTTTTGTTTCGACTAGTAAATGGGTCCGCCCAAGACATCCTCTGGCATAACTAGGAAGAATTATTGGTCAAATTTTTCGAGCATAATTTTGAGAGCACAGTGCGTGTTTGACACTTGCTGCAGAAATTGAGACAAAATTTGCTATTCCGAGAGAGAAAAAACGATGTTCCTCACCTCCAGGCAAAGTTTGGATGCTGAATGGGGGCGGGATGCTGCACCGCGCCGTACGGAGGTTGGAACGACGCCGTGTGGCGAGGAACCATGGCCTGATGAATGCCGCCACTTCGTACAGGAACTGGAAAATATCCCCGGAATCCTGGTACAAATCGCGGGTTCGGCAACAAACCTGCCAGTCCGAGCACAGCGCATTAAAATTTTACTTCTCTTCACTCGCAAATACTCGCATCCTCAACAACAGCTTTACTATATAACGCATCAATGCATTGATTCAACACCTGTACTACTGTGCAACAGAAATGCGTAAAATAAATTATTGTACCGGAATCTTCATCATCGGAAGACAACGAAAATACGAGGGGAAATGTTTTAAAAAATGTGTTCGAGCAAAGCGATTATAGCCAACCCAATTGAGGCAATCAAACGTGACTGAATTTCAGACGAAACATTTCTGCTTGACATTTTCAAAATCCTGGAGTCTAGATTTCAATGCCATGCAGAACATCAACTTCAAGAAGCAACTCTGAAACATTTTACGAATCTCAAAGTCTACAGGTGTCGCCTGAACTCAGTTACTGTAGTTTTGCCATGTCAGAGTTTGTATGGACAACTGATTTCATGCGGAACTCGGTAAAATACCCGTTCAGTATTGGAAACATTTTAAAGCTTGTTATATGGCTCTAAGGACCGTCCTCAGCGAAGTTAAGTCCGTAAGCGCTTTAATGCCATAATATCTAATATGGTATGATGTGAGCCCGCTGTGGAAAGAAGTGTTGGGTCCTTCGTTCAAGCCTGTATGTATGCGAAGGAACGAAAAAAAATTAACCGTATTTACTCACGTATACCAGTGCAATTTTTTTCAAAATTTAGAGGAAAAAAGAGGGGTGCATATCATATAGTATCAATTTTTCGAAAAGTTCCAAGAGTTTACGCTTGCATTATAAAGTAGTTGATTGTAATGTGAAATTGAGAACCAATTTCATCAGAAAAACTCATTTGAATGAAAAAACATTTGAAAATTAGTTGCATTCAGGCTCAATTCAAGTCAAAATTGCAATTTTGGCGTTATTATTTTTGAAATAAAGTACTGTATTTCAATTTTAGAGTCACTAAAAATTGGGGGCGAGTCTTGCTCAGGGATAACAATTTTACCGAAATTTCAGACTGAAAACCTGGGTGCGCGTCTCATTACTCGAGGGCGCCTGGTTGACGAGTANTGTACCGGAATCTTCATCATCGGAAGACAACGAAAATACGAGGGGAAATGTTTTAAAAAATGTGTTCGAGCAAAGCGATTATAGCCAACCCAATTGAGGCAATCAAACGTGACTGAATTTCAGACGAAACATTTCTGCTTGACATTTTCAAAATCCTGGAGTCTAGATTTCAATGCCATGCAGAACATCAACTTCAAGAAGCAACTCTGAAACATTTTACGAATCTCAAAGTCTACAGGTGTCGCCTGAACTCAGTTACTGTAGTTTTGCCATGTCAGAGTTTGTATGGACAACTGATTTCATGCGGAACTCGGTAAAATACCCGTTCAGTATTGGAAACATTTTAAAGCTTGAATATACCGAGATTCCTGGCAGGAGTCGCTTCAATTCAGGCATTCGCGAAATTACGGTATTATAGATTATACCATACTACACTCGGGCGACACCTTTCTTCACAACCCAGGAAGCAAGTTCGGACATCGTATGCGAAAGAACGAAAAAAAATTAACCGTATTTACTCACGTATACAAGTGCAATTTTTTTCAAAATTTAGAGGAAAAAAAGAGGGGTGCATATCATATAGGTGGGTATCAATTTTTCGAAAAGTTCCAAGAGTTTACGCTTGCATTATAAAGTAGTTGATTGTAATGTGAAATTGAGAACCAATTTCATCAGAAAAAGTCATTTGAATGAAAAAACATTTGAAAATTAGTTGCATTCAGGCTCAATTCAAGTCAAAATTGCAATTTTGGCGTTATTATTTTTGAAATAAACATAAAGTTAAAATCTCAGTGATTTTTAACCCCCGCTCAGAACGAGTCCCTATTGTTAAAATGGCTTTAAAGTCTGACTTTTGGACCCACGCGCAGAGTAATGAGCTCCCGCGGACCAACTGCTCATAATATCGGCATTGGACAGTACTGCGTAGAAACTGAGTGACTCACTGGGATAATGCGCAGCAGCAGCAGCAGCGTTCATCGCGTAGTCGTACATCGGATTTGTCAAAAAATGCGACGAACCCGTTTGCTGCTGCTGTTGCTGCTGCGGTTGACAACGCACGGCGGCTTCGTCAGAATACACGTCATACGGCTTGGGATTGATGACCGCGTTGCGCTGATGAAGACCAGCCGGACTGGGATGTGAAGAGCCGTTGTTTGCGTAGCCGTGAGGACGCAGCATGCCCATGTCGAAATCATCTCCTGTCGCTGCTCCCGGATCCTAAATTATTGGAAACGTTGAAATGCTGCATCAAAAAAGGTTTCTTGATTTCAGGAAACATTTTCAAGGAACATCTTATTCTAACCATCTAACACGTTCCCCGATTAAATAATTCACACGGATTGCAAATACTGTATTTTCATAATGCACGAAGAATAAAGCAATCGAATTGAAAACTGCCGCTACACGAAGTGTTTACTGTTGCATTTCTTACTACTGTATTTAAACCACGAAGATAGTCGTGGCGTTTCTCTCATGTACAGAAATTGGAAACGGATTGCTTGGGATGTTTCCGGGAAGATTCCATTCCTGCGAGCCTCCACCCCCGTGCTCCCTTCGACCTCCGAAATGCTGGTCTTTCATCCTTCGTTTTTCAAAGGTGTGTGTGAAATTGATTTCCAGTTATTTTCTCTGAGAACACCCAAATTTAAATTTAGACCTGAAACAAGCCTGACACATTTTTAAATTATGATGAGTTTTTTTGATGAAATCGGTCGAAGATTTGTCATACTCATAAAAACAATGCGCGCGTGATTTCTAAAATTTTTTAACAAATGTTTACCCGGCTATGACGAAGCGCATCCCCCTTTTTTTCCACTCACTCACGTGCTTCTTTTTTGAGAAAAGGAGCACGTGGTACTCCCTCTTAGAAAATTTGAAAGAAAAAGAAAGCTCGGGTAATCTAACCTAACCTAAAAGCTGAACTAACCTGACCAAAAATAAAATAACCGAACATGAACTGACCTACAATGAAATAACCTGAACTAAAAAAAAATAATAATAATATATATATACTGTATATATATATATATATATATATATATATACATTACACAGCACTCCTGGCGACCTTTCATTCTTCGCTTTTTGGGAAAAACGTTCGAATACACAAAGCTTTGCGCTGGTGGGGTGGCATAGCTCAATAGCTGTAAACACACTTTTTTTAAAGTTCCGGGGAAAAAGGAGGCGAGTTTCAAGAAGGACGCCGCCGCACAAGAATAGAAAACCATTACATTTTGGGGTAATCAAGACATGATTTCATCAACATAATAGCTCAATGGAACCAATTTAATTTACGTAAGCGTACCCTTACCGCACAGCCGACTAGCTGATCCTGCGCCAAACCGTTGCTTACAGCGCCGAAATTTGAGATTTCTTCCTGAGAACACGACATTCGAAGAGTATTTCTAGCAAGAGCACACGAACTTCCTCCTCCTCCTCCAGTCAGCTCCACGAAGTTTGTCCACTCGTCCACGTATTCATCCTGGCTGCAACCGTATATCTCACTAGCTACACCAGCAGCAGCTGCTTCTTGCTGCTCTTCTATCCTTTCATCGTCATCACCTTCCTTCGGCTCTTTGAATTCAAGCGAGTCCCCGGCTGTGACAAATAATTTCTCGTTCCCATCATCGCCGGTCGTCGTCGTATTTCCGTCGATCAACCGCTCGTCGTCTCCAACAGACTTGCTGGGCGCCAATTCCGGGTCGTCGTTTTCAGCATGGATAGATTCACCACCAGTGACCCTCCTGGGTTCTTCGTCTTCGTACAAGGGCGGGAAATCGGTGTCGTAGCTCAGTGTTCCAGTAGTAGAGCCGGAGTTCTGCCACAACACTCGTTTCCCGTCATTGACGTCGGCTACGTAGGGACCGTTCTTATTGCAGCTGACGTCGTTGGAGGAGGTCAAGAAGTCGCCGAGAGTCAGACTACGGCCTCCGCGACGCGGATAAACAGGTGCAATGACGTTTTGTCGCGTAGCGTACTTCATTCGAGGGCTCTTATTCGGTGTACCTCGTTTCGAAGTCATATTATTGGAACTCGGAAGGCTGTCGTCTTGGAAGATTTCGGTCGAAAAGTTCAACTAAACGAAATAAATACCCCCGGAAGGTAAGGTAAGCTTCAATAGAAACACACATACAAAATACCGAATTGATTTGTGAATATGAGTCGACCTCAGACATTCACACAGCATAATTAATAAGCCGACCCACATCAGCCATCATATCTGAGTGAAGTTGAAATTTAGAAATTTAGCTCATCACATGCTCCTTCTGTCATTCAGAAATCGTATGACCCTGACGCTCCATTTAGAAAAATCACCAGTAACTCAGAATTTCTCCTCTTGTTTTTCTTGACGTTATCGGGAAAATTCAGGCTTCGACTATATACGAGTGTTGTCCCGTTTGGGCGAGACTTTGGTCACTTATCTTATTGAGCAGGTATGACGAGTAAAAAATTGATACAGGCTATGGCGTTGAAAGGTTATGGGATTTTTTTCGGATTTTTAAACAAACACTGCACGATGATAAGCGAAAACTTTCCAGTTACGACCAGAATTCTCCACCTTGGCACAGGGTGCTAAAAATTTGTCAGGCCAGCTGAAAATTTGAATTTTGTTGCGGTTTCAACAATAATCTAAAATGTAAAAATATTATGGTTAAAAACCAAAATTTCTATTCTTTTTCAGCTGGCTTCAGATATTTTAGCATCCGTGGTGACGTGGGTGAGAAGCTCTAATCGCAACTGGCAAGTTTTTACATCATCATGCAGAAAATTGAAATATTCTTATTCCAAAAACAATCCCAGAACCGTACATCATGTGTTGTAACATAGCTTTTTTTAAACTTTATTACCTTCCTCAGAAATAACCACGGTCGCGCGCAAGTGGGACAACCCTCCACTATACGAAGGCCGCACTTCAAGAAATTTTCCGAACCTTTTCGCGCCATTTAAAGTTGCATTCCTGAAGCTGGCATCTGTGTTGATCAAAATCTGGGTACGCCCAATGCGTGCATAAAAACGGCACTGATCGAACAACGTGCTCATTACTCAGCATAGAATTTATGACTCACATTTCCAGGGATAACAGGACCCTCGCTATTCCAGTAGGTGTCGCTCGTACCACGCGCCTTCGCATCAGCCCTGCTGGACGCAGCGACCTTCATTCCTTGCTGCGAACGATCCTCATGCGAATCGAACACAGCGCTTTCCGTGAAGCCACCAGCAGTAACATCTGAATATGAACAAAGTACGGTATTGTCACAAGGCATTTGCTACAAATTTATGTCTGAAGAAAACGTACTGCTCCCCGTTGCTCACAGCGAGAGCGAACAGAAATGAAATGAGGATTTGATTGTGACTACAGTAGATAATTTCCAACATCTGTCGGAGAGCTTTGATTTTTTGGTCAGATCGTTCCAGAAATATTCCTTCAACATCTGATACAGAACTCAGATGGACCACTCGAGAATTAGGATTTATTTTCCAGTGGATTCACTCATTGAAAGTTACTCACGCTGTTATTTTCATGGAGAAAGATGCTGTGCACCAAGAAATATCAAATCACTGCAATAAGAAAATTCCGACATCGACATCTATCTATGGTGGTAAAATGTGTTTCCATATCACAAAAAATTCTGCAAAATATAACAATTGCGGTGAAATACAATAATACTAGCTGTAATTTCTAAGGTTTCTCTCACCAAAGAGCTCTTTACTCGATGACCGAAAGTCTTTCGGCTCACGAAATTTTTTCCTGAAAACCCCAGTATTCGCGTCGTCTGCAACACTCTGTATCTTCCTCGGACCTCCTCCACGACCCTTTCCAGGTTCTTCAGACAAATCAGCAACAGCTCTCGGTGATTTATTTTCATCGTCAATTGCTGCGGCTTCGTCGTCTTCCAGTCGTACAAAATGTCCGGGTCTGAGTTCGAAATAAAATTCCTGATCTCTAAACAATTCCCAGTGAACACGCGCACTCTGTTCAGGAGTCAATTCTCCGGATGGTGCGGAATGTTCTATAGACTTCAACACACGAGCCGGAGAAGCGAACACAGTGTCACGTCTGTATTCGTCACTCGTCACGTTTCCCAACCCGGTTTCCACTTCATTCAATGATTGACTATTACCGTCACGACTGACGTTGCTCTCATTCGATAATACCTTCGTTTCGGTTTCGAGTAAATTGCGGATGGATTTCCCGAGAGCAACTTTTTGCTTCCTGCTGAACGAGGATTTCTTGTCCGGATTTTTCGCAGGCAACGCGTTCGATTTCGCATCATCATGATTCGCGTCAATAATGGGCTGTTTCTTGAGGATCGTCGTGGTCTTTTTCTCCAAGGCACTCGGACTACAGCCATCTTTCACGCTCAGGTCTTTCATGGCTTGTAAAAACGATTCATTCAGGCTATCATTCAGGGGAATCGAAGTGTCGAAATTCTCCTGATCCTCAAACGAAAATTCTAGGTCGCACAAACTCTCGTCCGGCGACTCCCGGAATTTTCCAACGCTGCTATCAATCGGGAAAGTCATCTGAGGAGCTGCTGCTGCTCGGTCTTTTGTGGGGCCCACGCGCGGAATTTCAGGAGATTCAGCATCATCACTCATCGTCGTCGTCGAAAGGAATTTTGAACCTACTTCGCAGGTTTTTTCGGGTAAGTCAACCACGGCAGCGGCGTCCTCGCCGGCAGAGGCACGAACCAGGAAATGAGAGCAGGTGATGATGTCGTCGGGACGCCATCCGCATTCACTAGTGTTTTCCAGAGATGATCGGGATGACGAAGATGATGGCGAGAATCGGACTTCGTCAGAGACGAGGCTGTTTTCAGTGCTGCTTGGCCTGGACTCCGAGTCGCTGACGTCTGTTGGAGTGGAGTCATCCAGACGGACCATTGGTGACGGTGACTCCAACATTTCTGACCAGTCTTCGTCGCTCGATGATGAAAAGCTCGATTTCGCCGTGCGAAACGTCTTGAAGTTGGAAATGATCGGATGAATAGATTAATGATACAACACCATCATCAGGAAAAACTGAAAAGTTTTCTTTGAATCATTGTAAATAAGTCGCAGATGGCTTTCGCCTTTTTGTTACTTATCCAATACATCAGTAGTGCTGCCCAACATATGGCCCGAGATCCCTCGCCTATAATTTTCAAGTTGGCAGCCACCAATATTTAGAATTAACATTCAAAAATGAACCTAGGAATTCAATATGTTCCTCCACCCTTCCAAAATTGTACGAGGCTATGCTTAAAATTAAATGCATAGCACCGAATTAAATTTGAAACCCCAAATAAAAAAAGACTACACAGTAAAATTTTGTCACGAAAAGCCCTTTATTGGAACCCGGAAAACCTCGTGGTTAGAATAAAAAAAATTCTTGGACCTCAAAATTGAATTCGTTAACAATTTTACTGAACGTTTTTTTAAATTTTTCAGACATTGGACTCGAATGCGACTGATTTTCGCTTTGGATAGTGGACCCTTTTAAAAGGCATGTGAACTTTTCCACCAAAAAATTCTAACTTCGCTGTGAGATAAAGGGGCTTTCAGCAGTAATATTTATGTTAACGAAAGCATTCTCGATCGCGCATGGAGAGTCATTTTTTCCTTCTGGCAAAGAACGCTTTTGTTATTTTATGTTCATTATCAACAGCATTTATTTAGCCATTCATGGAAAATTCCATGGGGACAGTTCTAGATTTCGCCGAGAGGAATTAAATAAAAAAATTAAGAAAAGTAATAATAATCAAAAGTCTTGCAATCCTTTCACATACGGAACTGCGAACGAAGTCGACTAAAATCGCGGAGATTTTTCGATGAATCATACACGAATTGATGAAAAAGTACATCTCATCAGATGCAGATTAGAGTAAATGACGGATATGTTGGCGGAAACCGCTATGAATTCGTTTCAAGTATCCAACATTAATACGCAATCTTTAATTTTTTTCTGGTAAGAAAACAACAGCAGATATATATTAATCCGTATTTTCAGCAATGAATATACAAACTGATCCTAAACAGGATCCCAGCTCATAGGGGCAGATAGTTAAACTTGACCAGTTTTTGGACTTGAGCAAAGAATATTGAAATTGATAACACATCAAATTCAGAATTTAAAAAAATAAAGAATCTCCTGTTTATACTTGGGTACCATCACGCGCCCATGAGTGAGACAAGCACTTGCATTTTCTGTCTAAAATTTGAATAAAAAAATATCAAATAAGATGCACACCCCATTTCAAGTGACTGAAAATTGCAATACTTTCGAAGCAAAATACAATATTGTTGAACATAATTTAAATTTAAAAACGAATTGAGGTCAAATGTAATGCCAACTTTCAATCTTCTTTGATTTATGCATTGAGATCAGTTACAAATTCCGCGTTAGGATGAAGTATGATGCGCACCGGCAAATCTTCAATAATTTGTAAAAACGTCATACCCATCCATGACGCTCACCATCTTTTCTCCCTCTCACATTTTGAGAAAATGACGAGTGCGTTATTCAAACATATAAAGTAGCTACAATAGATCCATCCTTGTATTGGACACATAGTTCACTTTTTCTGAACTCTCCATAGCTGAGGCACCCTTCCTATCAACATAAAAATCATATCACGCGTACAATGTACCGTCAACCTGCTTTAGGTTAGTGATCAGGGACTGAAAATTATTTCCTAGGCATTTTTTCGCTAGACGACGTTTTTATGATGACTGGAACAGTTTCTGAGAAAATCCGCCAGAAATTCGATGATCGAACTCTAAGTCGATTATTTTCTAAGCTAGTAGGTTTTAAAAAATAAGCTGTAATAAGCGGCTGTATATAGACCGAATCCTGCGATTCCAGGAGATTCAAACAGCGAACACCGAACAAATAAGAACAATTTTGACAGAATAACCTTGCTTACACATGAATAAGGACAGAAAAAACTATTTCTTTGAGAACTTCTCAATATTCACGTCGTCATGAACTCCGTAAGATAATCCTCCATCCCAGTACTGCAGGAGTTCGTCACCTAGATAAGGCTTCATCTCTATACTATTCTACATTTCAAGAAAATTTTGCATTTTTACAACGAAGTCGGCGCGCACTTTCTCGAGCATATCTGAAGTCTGCATCTGCGCTGCGGCCTACATACTTATCCGAAGTGAAGGCTGAAACAATTTTCCGTCGATTACACTTTCCAGGGAGACAAATGCACCGTACAGTACAATCAGATAAATACATAGCTTCTTGAAACCTTTTACTAAATGAACTTATTTCAACCGGAAAAGTCTCCTTCCCTGAATGAATTTATCACATAGCTCGGACTTAATCCGCACGGGAATAGAAGACATCAGGGACCGATGCTCAATATAAAAAATTCAAAGAAAATGCTTCCTCCCAGAAAACCAACAATAATTTATAGAATGAAATCGAAGTACCTCTTCATCAGAACTGTTAGTTTCTTCGCAGTCCCATTTTGTCTCCTTCGGCTCAAGCTGAAGTAGAAAACCTTCGCTCTCCATAACGCATTAAATCGACGTTCGGGAAGAAATCGCTGAACAATCTCAATTTTGCAATATAAAACAATACGCAGACGTTCAAAACTCGTCCAAGTCGAGATAATTCGATCGCATGCTGACACTTCCAAGACATGCAGCAAACGATTAAGCTGATGAGGACAAATCACACCTGTAGAGTTAAAATGAAAATATTTGGCACGGGTAATCATTAAACATCGAACACATCGGTAGGTGCTGATCTTATCGCATTGGAAGGAAACGGGCCGAAGGTCGAGAATTGGCGAACAAAACGCTTCAAGAAAATTTGGTAATTAATTTTCAAAATTTTACTTACATTATTTCATCGCTCGAAAGAGGGAGATTTCCACCGATAATTGAAGCCAAGTTGGACTGACGAAATTTGGTGCACGAATAACGCATTTGAAGAAAAAAATTTCCTGCATTAAATTCACGAGGCAAAAATTCTTGCTTCAAACATGAGCCAAGCGAAATATTCCAGTTTCTCAAAAAAAAAAATACTGCTTTACTGGAAATACTTCGTCATCGAGTCAAGTTCAGTACAATACCTGGAATATTAAAGGTGACTTCTGCTTAAACTTTACTTAGACCTTTCTCATCAAACACGAAGACAGCTAACTCCATTGCAGGTCCAACAGGGCAAAATATTTTTTCAACAATACAAGAAGTAAATTGAAAAAGAGGAACTTGTCAACAGAACTTGACACTCAAGTTCGCGCAAGCAGGAGGAATAGAACTTAAATCGCCAATAATCGACAAGAACGGCTCCAAAGCGTTAGTAAGCTAAAATGCAAAATGAAGCACAAAAAAAGCATCAAGACTTGAATGAAAAAATTCGTTAGCACAAGAGAAAAAAATCAAAACCACAAACACACACAAATTCCTAAGAAGCTCAACGGCCTCTTAGGAATGATTGAAAAGAACAGATGACGACCAGTTTGTATTCGCATCTCCTCGATTACAAAGTAATGAACGACAAAAAGGACTGGCTGTTCTTGTCAAACCACACCCCACATTGTTCTTTCTCCCTATGATACCCCTCTTCTCGCCGACCACAAAACTTGCTCCACTTACAATGCTGATACAAAAACGCATGACAGAATCTTGATTCCCCGTGGGTCTACGAGCGATGAGCCAGAACTGATCATTTCCGTCCTCATCCCAAGGTATTGTTCAAAATGGACCAACACGGATTTCCGAAAAAAAAGAAACGCCGGGAAAAACAATGAAACTGTTCACATAAAATTTCATCTTTTTGCCGGGAACTGGCGACACCGAGTGCAGTTTTCTTTCTCTATGGAGGGCAGCGTTGACAGTCACACGTAGTGTTATCCTTCACTCAACTCTTCTTCGACCGGTTCGGAACAACAAAAAAACCCAAAATAGCGGAACGGAAACGATGCACGAATAGTCGACCGACTGACTGGTCAAAATAAAACACTTCCGAACACTTGAAACAAACGGAAAAAAAAAATCTCTCGCTCGCATGTATCAACCAGCAGGCTGAATCACAAAAATCATGCCCCTACACGCTCAAAAAAAGGTCAAACGTTGTTTTTCATCTCACTGTCTTCTCCCCATTCCCCCAAAAAAGCGGCCAGACGATACTCCCCCCTTTTCTCACACACATTCAAAAATTTTAGCTTTTCGACTTCCTTTCTCGCTGACGGCAATATTTCTTTCTTAGCTTAAAACTGAAATAAGCAAGCAACGACTCGTAATTTCCTTCCTTCCTAATACCATGCGCATTTTCAGCTTAAAATCAAATGCTTCGCCATACGCGAGTCGAGTGATTCGAACGTTATCGAATGGAAACAGATTTCTGAAGTTCACATCAGCTAAACTCATCTCTCAAATCTCGAATAACTTCAGAAGCTTCTCAACGGGATGCAAGTGAGAATCAATCCATTGCAGTCAGCACACGGAACAAAAATCTGGAATCGTGAGTTTACACGGAATGACCCAACCGAAAAATTAAGGGGCGCTGGTTTCCATTAGAAGGACCACATCAGATTCATGCACCGGCGACGAATAAATAAAAGGAAAACAAATTGCTTTTCGTCGTCTTCGTATCCTAAATTGAAAGAACCACACGAACCAAACAAATCTGACACAACTAACCTAAACTGATTCACCCTCTCTAAGCGGCGAAAAGTACTTCGTTTTCCCTCACATAGATGTCACCAAGACGTGGGTCCTCCGAATCAAACCTGGGCCAAAATAAAGGAACCTAATATCGCCATCGTCCACCCAGCCTGCCACCTGAACAACACTTGGCACGGAACCAGGCAACTTCCACAAAACACCTCCCTTGCGCAATAAGCCTTCTCGAAAATAAAGTTTTTCCGTCGCCCACTCAAAAACCTCGTACCACAGCTGAGATCCACCTTCCTAAAGACATCTTTTCCCTCCGAAACGATTGCGGCACTCGTCCATTCTTTCCCATCACCTTTCCCAAGAATGTCAACCTAAACCCTGAAAAAGTCATCTTTCCACTTCGATAAAGGTAATCTAGGATTTCAGGCGGGTTTAAAAAAATGGCAGATGACCGCAACCAATTGCCTACTTTTCACAAAAAGCTGCGGAAAACGGATTACCTCTCACACGAACGAAATTGGTTCAATACTGCTAAAATTTCTCGTTCACGAACCGTTACGGCGCCCCGGAATCAGAGCTTTGTTCAAATCGTCCAAAGATCATCTTAAAAAAAGGGGCACAATATATCTCGTGTCATGAGCGCATGTTTTTAAAACACGCACAATCGGCGGGCAAAGTTGCGACGTATTGCTAAACAAGTGATCTAAAAAAAAGCCATGCGCTCATCAAGTAGAACGTCGAAACCTCAGATACAGTACAGTACTAGAAAAAGATTGTCCCGAAAATTACTGTTTTAAAAGAATTAGGATTCACAGAAGCTGAATTCAGACTGAACTAATCGAAACTAATGGTGAGTTCGTTCCGGTTCTGGACTAGCTAATCTAACTGAGCCAGGTATCCGTCTCAGGTTCTGAAATTTTCATATGACAAGAAAAATGTGTTTCTCACAGAGGTCAAGTTCAAAATAATGGTTAAGGTTGCGACAAAATTCCAATTCAATTTACACGACAGCAACTTTCGGGACAACCTGGACTATTCGACATGAACAGAAATTTTTCTTCCGAAGGCAGACGCGAAGCGCACACACTCGAACCCTTTAAAGCTTCAAAAATTCTTTGTTCTAACGCCATGAGTTCGCGGGAATCACGGTCAAAGTATGAAAAAATTCTTCGTCCCACGTATCGCCCTCAGAACACACTTGAAATTGCCTGCCAAACCATACATGCATTGCGGAGGAAACTCAATAAAAACTGACCTAACACGAAATCCGCTCGAGTAGTACCCCGACTCGGATTAACATATCGCTTAAAAAAATTATCTTCAGCACAGGAATGTACAAACTGCACTCTCACGCATCGCTGCAAACAAACACATTCGTCTTTTTTCGGATTGCTGCTGAAAACCTTCATCAGGTTCTTTCTCTCTTGTTCGCAAAACTAGAACAGTTCCGAAGTTCAAACCAGGCGAGATGGCAGGAGAAGAAGCGGAACTACGGTGGCGTGAACCATAGCGAACAACGTCGCCGCGATGGTGATCCAAGACGTCGTTACGGTCGAGCTTGCGTCAGTCATGACTTTTGCCACCTTCGAACCCAGCGTAGCGAACTTGAACGTCGCGGGTTCATTAGAACCGAACATATTGATCACCTGGAAAAGGAAGAATTGCATTCTTCAGCTGAATTCCGTTAGACACGACAGCGACACAAAATGATCGATGTTTTACTGTACAATAAAACGGTAGCGAATACTTCCAGCAGGATGATTTCTCTTGGTGGTGGTAAACAATACATGAGCAGTGCCTGGGTCTTGTTACTTCGTGGTCAGGCTAGGTTTGGTACTACCAGGTTACATTCGATTAGACCACCACATGACTTTTTTTTATTTTTTTTACTGCACAGCTAAACCTAGATATTGTACCTCGAGTTTCCCTACGTCGAATTCTTTCTAAATCTCGGTCTGAATTCCCTTAGAATCAAAGCATTAAAGTACCCCCGAAATTCAAAGGCTTTCTCTCAAACCTCTTCAATTCAAAATTTCTGGGGGACTTTCGTCAATTATTTTATTGACACAGGGAAGAGAAAAGCAATTAGAATATAAAGAACTGTTTTGAAAAAAAAAAAAAACTAATCGGGCAAATGAACCTTGCCTTCAACTTCAGCGTCCGGCCAACTCGTTCAAGAAGCAATTCAAGGCCCAGAATATCAACTGCAGCATTGAAATATCCTGTAGATCTTCTTTCTTTCTCCCAACACAAATGCTTGTTTCCCTAACTCGAAACCTCCCAGACTGAAATTTTTTCGCTTGTCCCTCGCAGTTCGACTATTCATTGTCAGGCCTGAGATTAAGGTCACATCTGCTGGACATCCCGGAATATAAGTGAAGTGAAAATGACTGAACGTTGCTACGATCAAAGAAAAGGAGGGTGCTGGATTAGTTTAAAGAATAAATTGGACTGAAGGTAGGCCAGATAAATGCACGAATTGCCACGCAGAGCTGCAAACATTTGATGACGCCACTTCCCCATTTCATAAATTACATGTTCACGAATTTAAGGATTATCAGATTATCATCCAAATGGAAGTATGACGTGTATTCATCCGGTGGTGGATTTTCACTGCAGGAATATGCGACCTTCTGCCAATAAAAATGCAACGGAAATTTCCCATGATCAGCGTCCAATACAATATTTCCATGCACGAAGCCATCAGACCATATTCAACTAGAGGATTTCCCGATCAAATTAGAAGTTCCGACCAAGGAGATCTGCTGAAGGCAAATTCAATTACAGTATTAATTTTAAAATGCAGTATATGAATAAACCCTCTCTTTGCATGAAGAAAAAGGCAAGAGCAAATAAAAACAAAAAAACTGAAATCCTGCATCGACAGCAGCAGTCTCAGGTTTAACTAAATGTAGTCAATGATCAATATGCGGAATTTGGTAAGGTTTCTTCCCGGCATCCGAAGAAGAGGGGGTTCATAAAAAGTTTCAGACGAGCAAGGAAGTGAGCATGGAGTAACGGAAGCCATTCAAGAAGCAACTGGACACACACCTGCACACTAACTTCATACTCCGTTGCAAGAGCCAGATTGCGAACCACGAACTCCTTTGCATGCTTCCTTGAATTTGTCGCTGTCCCGTCTCCAGGCACAGTTACCTTAATCCAGTCAGCGGGAAGATCCGTGCTTTCGTTCGCCTTCACACGCCTGCAAAGAATTAGGAGCTTCGTTAAACGTTGAAATCCTGCGTTATTTTAAAATAATTCATTCATGGGGCTTGTCTCACGCGGAAAGCTGTCGTTCCGTCAAATAATACCCCGAAAGCGGTTCATAAAAAACAAAATTCAAAGGTTTCTTTGACTCGAAGACCCACAGAAAATTCCCCAACGTATCACTGAGGATAATTCCGAACTTATTTTTGAATTCAGCTTTTTGCCGTTCGTGCATTGAATTACTGGTAACGAGATACCGGTGAACTCTCTCAGCAACAGTTTTCGTTAAGCAACGAATTTTGGTCTCACGTCGTTCACTACCCATTCCGAACACGATTTCCCGGTCCTGCGAATTTCGTTGTAGAGGGAGTCGACGTATGTACGTAGCGATTAGAATTCACCCCCTCACAAAGAACATTTTCCCCCAACTTTACAAAAATGTGTAAAATAAAAAATTTATCGCAGGTCTTGATCACATTCATATACTATATCGACAATGTCAAAACAAGGCAGCCAGCCGAAAACCTCATATTGCACTTGAATTCTGACATTTTTTCCAATATTCTTAATGCTGTACATCAAATTTTCCACAAAATATACAGGACGATGCACAGGTTTTCTAGGATCTTTTTTCTTTCTGAACACTTGATCGTCATATCTTATTATTTATTAGTGAAGTCAATGACAGGTGTCGCCTGAGTGCTGTACAACATGGGGCCCAACTGGAATTACCTGAGCACTTCACAAAAAGACGCAATAAATACAGGCAACATCCACAGGATGAAAAAGAAAATCAGCCCAAAATGTCGATCTCGAAAGCGATGATAACCATCATTTCCCGCTTTTCTCACCTGTAGCTCAGCTGGTATTCCGTCACAGGACTGAAGCTTTCCACTGTCCACCTCAAAGTGTAGGCATCCGGTTTGTCCCCGTTCGGATTAGACACGAACTGGGCCTTATGGGCAACACCGGACAGTTCGATTGTTTTCGAATCAGTTCCAAGATCGTTGACAGCCTGGCATTCGTAAGTTCCGAAGTGTTCTCGCTTCAGATTCTTCAGTTCGAGCGTGTAGATGTCGCTTCCGTCGGCAGGTGACTGAGTCCAGTGAGGAGTTTCTTGGTCTAGTTCAACGCCGTCCTTCAGCCATTGAACAATCGGTCGGGGTTGGGCACTGATTTCGCAAGTCAGTTCGGCCTGGTTGTTCTCACCCGAGTGGATCCACTGCTTTTCAACCTTGATAATCGGCTTTAAAAAGAAAGAATGAACAGAAATTCATTAAATCAGGGAAATCAGGAGGAAGAAATACAGTGAAACCTCAATAACTGGAACATTTCTGCGTCGAATTTTCGTCAAGGACCTATCTGAATTCCCCCAGAAGCAATACATTAGAAACTTTTCTCACTACGAGGCTTCCCCTCTCACACCTTTACAACTCGGATTTTTTGAAGGCATTGTGGCTACCATTTTATTGACACAGGGAAGAGAAAAGCAATTGAGATGAAACTTGAAATCCTTTGAAATGAAGAAAAGTAATAGATCAATTGGGCAGATGAACCAATGCCACCACATTCAGCATCTTGTCAACTCATTCATGAAGCTACCGAGGGCCAAAATATGACCCATTTATTCTTCCTTTCCCGCCAATAAAAATGCGTGTTTTCTCAATTCGATTTTTTGTTTTGGCTGGTCCCTTGAAGTTCGATTTAAAGAGGTTAGACTGAAAAACTCTTTCCTTTTCATCGTTCCATGAATCTCTCTCTGAATCTTCATTTCCGTAAAAGCAATTGGGCTAACGGGAACATCACCACGAATTACATGCACGTACGCTAACCCGGATGATCCAAAAGCGGAACAGCAGTGCTCATCGGACATGACACGCAAAGCCGTCCATCAAATACATGGATCAAAGGAGAAAACAGCTTCGATTCAAGTAAGATAAAAATATTGTACCTTTACATAGTTTCTGAATATAGCCTACGTATCACTCAAGTAATAACGTATTAAATCGAAATGACTGCGTCTTTATTAAAAAAAGTCAATTGATGAAATTTCAACTGAATTGTTTCAACTAAAATAAAAATACAGTACCTGCACATCGTTTCTAAGCGTCCACCCTTTTCAAATACTGTACTGAATTTCTCGACGAGTGGACATTTCAAATAATGACAACCCAAGTACCCAACTACAGTACTGTAATGCGTTCTATCATAAATAAAACGAAATCAGCCAACGTAACATTGGAAGTACAGTTATAAATTACAGAACCGAAATGACTACGTCACAAATAAAAGAACTCAGATGATTTTAGTTAATACTATTTTAATCTACAGCAGTATGAGGGCTGGTTACAAGTGTTGCATGTCTTGCCCTGCTTCCCTCGAATGGAAATCGGCGACGGTCAGATGTACAATTCATTTTTGCATGGTAATGCAGTACTGGTGTACAGCATTTGATTATTTCCGGATAACATCGGATTTCGCTAACATAAATTGAAATCAAGCAAAAAGAAATACTGTACAGTATCCGCAAGTTGACCTCATCCTTGGGGGGGGGGGGGGGGATTTTTATGATAAAAATGGCAGGTATAAATTTCGCCATTGAGCGCACATTGTTTTGGATAACCCTCGAATTGAGTGCCCAGAACATTTTATTTCAAATAACAGTACTGTACAGGTACAGACAAAAATTTTCGACTAGCCATCTCTAAACTAAATCATAATTGGTCAAACCTTGGATATGGATTGACTGGATTCAAAATTGAGCAGGCATTTTTCTTGCGAGGATCAGGAACTTCAAGCTCGATAAAAAAACAAAGACAAGACGAGCACATACTGTAATCGCATCGTCTCCAGTATCAATGCGCGATGATGAATGAAAACGTACACTTTCGACAGATATCAAGAGAGCTTCAGAATACATCGACAGTTAATCTCACAGATATGGACGGCTTTCTTTGTGGGGTTACAACCAAAGGAATCCGGTTCAGCGTTCGCGAGGATTAGGATTCCCTTCAAAAATCGATTCGCCTCGGGAGCGAAACCCAAGAAGCGTGGAATACATTTCCCGGGAACTCATTCGTCCCTTACGCCGAGCGATTACACAAATCTTAGAACATCATCTAGAACGAACAGATTCTTCACAGACCCAGAAACAGATTCCATCGTTCCACTCGAAGCCCCGGAAAATCTCATCGCCGAATCCTGTAGACTAAGTATTTTCCGATACTTGTACTGCAGAAAGCAGCACTGTACTGTACTGCGAATACAGAGATCTTCCAGAAGAAGAAAAAAACTACTGTAATTATTCTATCCACCGGATTACGTAACATAATCCAGTTTCATTCAACAGCTTATTCCTGGACCTTCATTACAGTGAAGTGAGACATGGAATCTCGCGCTTCCTCTTTGAACCCAAGACAGTGAAAAATTGACAAGATCACCGGATCTCCTATTCTCTTTAATCGAGGGTCAAATACTAATAGATTTTTCATAATCCAACGTAATTTATAATTATAATTCACTAAATCCTATTGTTGAATTCTAACTTTCAGATTCGACTCACTGGGACTGCAAGACACGCGGGAGCTCTTGTCGAAATTCAAATCAATTCATAAACTGGCTTTATTCAGACCAAAGCCAGAGCTACTACCGATTACTCCTAGAAGCAGATGAGTTGAAGAAATTCGGACATGGGAATCTCACCTGGAGTATTCGGGCTTACTTGGATTGAAAACCAACGGAAAGAGGGTGTAGGTACCGTATTCAAGTTCAAGCCCATGCGCGGAATCCGAATTTTTCGGAGAGAAAGATGGAAAACCAATTTTTTTGGAACAATGGATGGCTTCATTTCCTACATTCAAGCATGGATCATTGATTTTATTTTCCATCGGAGGAATCCATATCAAGACGATTTTTGAGAAGCGATTTTGTGAAGTAACGAAATTCTGGTCCACAATTTTCCAAAGAAAACGTTTTTCGAGAACAATAGGCGAATACAATGCTCGTTCTACATTTCTGTGACATATTTTTTCAAAGAAAGGGATCTTCCAAGAAGAACGGATATTCGAGTTATTTTTTTTATCACGAGAATTAATTGATTTCTAATTGAGAATCCTCACCGTTTTAACGACTAAACACATTTTCTATCGAAACAATAATCGAAAGGTTGCCGGAGTCAACTCCTGCGAGCAGATATTCGCAGAAAATTGACCCAGAAAAAAACGGTTAGAAAAAAAAGTCGAGAACTACTTCAGTATCTTTAAATCATGAAGAATGATGCTACTGGTGCAGATGCTGCGGCACATGGTTCACATATCAATTGCAGCCGAAAAAAGGACACAATGCTTCCTAATAAAACAGGAAATCAAATCGCTTTCACATTGCCATTACTAAATATGGCTCCTCGTGCCTTTCCTCCGTGTATTGTGAAATCGTAAAACCGTGTGGAGAGTGGCGATTCAGAATTTTAAAAAATCGACTCAATCCCGTGATGCACTTCGAAGTGCAGCAAATACTGTACTGCAACAGGGCAGTATTTTGATACAAATACACAGCTCATTCGGTTCGTCAAAATTGAAAAGAAATTCAGGATTGAAAAGTTATACAGCGATTTTGTCTGTAACAGGAGATGGGTTACTTATATTTTTTTACGATCAACGTTTTACTGAAAGGACTGGCGGGAGTCGTTACTTATTTGGCCCCTAATAATTTTCAAATTCAGAATTCCACGTAGGGGTACAGGTATTTCAAAGTATTTCTTCTGCATACACTACAGCCGCCAATGTGGCGAAGGTGAAGGCGGCTGTTGATGAAAATGGCGGAATTACCTTAGAGACCTGGAGGCAACCCTTGGAATTAATGCCACGTTGATTTCAAGGGTTCTGAGGGAAAAGCTGGGGTTAGAAAGAAGAGAAGAGAAAAAAAAACCTGCGAGAAGGGCGCCACATCTTTTGAGTGAAGAGCAAAACTCTGCCAGGGTGAATTTCACAAAACATTCAAAAAAATAAGTCTAACAGGTTTTTTTTTTGTGCCAAACAATATGTTTTCCCTGAAGAATAGATTTTTCCAGCTCAATTATATGCCATTTTCATTTCTATTCCGAGAACTTTTGTTAGAATCCTCGTATAATTCTTGTTAATTTCATTAAAATTGTACAGTACTGTACTGTATATGTAGGTGCGACCACGCGAAAAATTCTGCACCCCAAATTTCCATGAAAGCCAGAAAAAAACGAATTCATTTACAGTGCTGCACAAGAATACTTTAACACGACGGCGAATCCCGTTCAGCAGGGAATTCGTTTTCGACATAGACCTCGAATTGGACACACACGATCGGATCTGACGTTTTTATAACTGACGCGTTTTTTTCCCCTGTTGCACCACGTAATACCGTGATATCCATATGTCACCATAAGTTATGCTGAAGAAAAAGCTTTTGGGCCTCTCTGCTATCTCATTTGTATCCATCAAACAGGTTGAGCAGAGTAAGTCATTACTCTTCCTGAAACCCTGGGATTAATTGTTCCAATGCAAGCTGAACTTCTGCTCGACACAAACTAGCGATGTGAAATTCCATCACACACTGTGTTTCAGTGTAACACGCTCTCTTTTACTTCACTTTTCATTCTAATTTAATTTTCAATATACATCTCAAACCGTTTTACGGAATACTGCGACTCGAATTTTTGCCACCGACTTACTCATTTGACGCAGACATTTGCATTTTCAGTGAATGGGTTAATCATTTTCCTAGGTAACAGGGAGCACAATAATAATGAGTTTAATTTGTTAAATTCAAGATAATCGGAATCAGAGCAGTTCCCCTCATGTGATCCCAAATACTGTGCTTACAATTAAGGGGACTAGTAAGGTATCTCAATTGTCGCTTAAGGCGACTTACATAGAGAAGAAAAAAAAAATCCAGCACGAGAGGGAGGGCATGGATCAATCATAAATTGAAATGGTAGCATATGAGTAAATGCGAAGAAATAGGCGATAAAGAAGTACCATCTCTACGAAGAAAGTCAGGGGACCAAAATATATGCTGTGGAGAAAATTTCGTTTGAACAGAACCGTTACAATGTGGATGAGACCCCTATAATAATAATATGAGACTACACAAAAAATCGTCGCAGAGAGAATCTACTATCCACTGTTCCTCTTTCAATCTTTTGCATGTACAGTACATGGTTATGATTAAAGCGAAGAATTCCGAACCCAGGGAATGCTCTGCACAGGATGTACCCCCAGAGGTGGTTCAGTACAGTACAGTACTCCCACGCCGTTCTCGTCTGAAAATAACACAATTCAAAAACATATGCTCTGACCTACGTAAAGTTCATCATAACCGCAACAACCTGGAATGCTTTTTCTTTCGCGCGCGCCGACATGACAATACTGTACTGAATATTCTGTATTCATACTACCGCATTGTACAGCGTACACCGAACAATACTGACGCAAATAATGGTTCTATAACGTCTACATTTAAACCAAATAGATTCAATGAATCAATAAAGAATGTACCCAGCCCGGGCAGCAGCAGCAGCAACAGAACAACTTCCAAAGCACCCCACAGCGTTTCATCAAAAGAATAAATTCGAGCTCGCGTTGATCTCATTAAAAACCTCCTCAACAGGAATGAATGAATGAATGGACGGACGCCACGAATGGCAGGGGTCGTTTGTGTCGGGAGGGAGAGAGAATCCAAAAAGGAAAGGAAACAAACGCAAAAAAGAAACACAACGAAACAACGACAAAAAAAGAAGCCTTCTCACCTTGAACAATACATCCAGGCGGATATTCGCCGCAGCAGTTCCGACGCCGTTGTCAGCCTCGCACGAGTAGTTGCCAGCCTGATGATGGGACACTTTTTCGAGCGTGAGCGTAGATCCCGTCTCAGCCAGCATCTCCCCGCGCTTCTTCCACTTGATCCCGGGTTCGGGGCTGCCAGACGCATCGCAGCGCAGGGTTACGTCCTCCCCGGACTTGGCCACGACGGTCTCCAGCACCGCTTTCACTGTCGGCGGCACGTGCACCACCAGGAACTGGAACAACTTGGGCGCGTTCGACGTCGATAACTGGCACGTGTACTTGCCCCCGTCCGACTGCTTCACGTCTTTGATCACCAAAGTGCGTCCTATACGACAACAAAAAAAGGCCAATTTGAAACGCAGAAGTGATGATACAGCGCCGGAAAGTATGAAGAGTCTCGCAGTGAATACACGCAGGCTGTGTACACTCATAAAGCGCAGCCACATTCAACAAAGATTATATTCAGTAAAACAACACGAAATACCGCATTATACGAGAAGATAAACGGCATCACAAAAACGCTTTAGCTCGTGGTAGGAAAAAACCAATAGAAGATAAAAGTGACTTCCGCTCAATGAAGTTCTGCTTTCGGTTCCACGTCAGTAAACACTAACGAACCAGACTCAGAAGAAGAACACACAAGATAGATATACAGTACAGTAATCCCGATCTGCGTGCTTTTCACTTCAACATGCACCGTCTATTTGACTCCCATGACTTCCCTCGTCATTTCATTTGAGTGCTTGAATCGCGTTAGGCTGAACAGGGAAATCGAGCTTCAATTCAATTCAGTTGAGTTGAAGATCTTCTGAACATCTAGCCAACATTCAAAACATAATTCGAAGAGTAGAGAACACATCGGAGTTATCGTTGAGGAAGAAATGAACATAGTTCAGATGGAACTCTACACTTCACATATCTTCGAAACTAAATTTTTTGTCAATAAAAGTACAATATTGGCAAGTTATTCTAAATTAAATTCCAGTGAAATTTCTCACGGCTTTAAAGAATTCCCTCATAGTAAAAAATAATGAAACACTTTCAATCGTTCCGACTTTTTTACGCTTTTTCCTATTTAATTAAATTTCTTCTGCACATTGCATTCGCGCGGATTATTTCCAACACAGAAATTAGCGTACAAATTTCAAATGAATGAAAAATTTTGATGTGAAAGGCAGATACTGGATTGTATTCGAAGCAACAACGAATTACCGTACGAAAAAAATATATTTTCAAGATCCCAGCTGTATAGACGTGTTTTCGTTCAAGTTTCTTCATAGAACATGTTTTTTTTAATAAAGAAGGTATTTCAAAGTCCTATTGACTTAATCGGGAAGAGATTTCACTGTAACACAATTCCTCACAAAAATACACGAACAACGACTTTCCATTACTTGATTAATGAGTTACACGTAAGCCGTGAAGCAAGAAACGCATTCACGCGATTTCAAGTCTTTTTTTAATCTTCTACCAGGTACCGAACATTACCATACTTCTGAATTTGAGCTATACTAGCACTATACCCAGAAGTACTGTACTAAGCAACCAACATGTGATACTCATGCAATGCCACGTCTTTTAATTAGCCTTCGCCTCCAATTTCAGCATCTTATGAACTCATTTATAAAGCGATTTAAAGCCCAGAATATCACCAATTACAATTTCCTCCTCCGTCTTCTTTCTTCCCACAAAACAAATGCTAGTTTCTCCAACTCGAAACCTGCCTAACTCTCATTGTTTTGCTGTTCTCTAGAAGTTCGATTTAAAGAGGTTCAACTGCATCAGCACTCGTAAAAAAAAAAAAAAAAGTTCAATGCTCTGCAACGTCATACGTGCGAGTGAATAAAATTTCCTCCTGCTTCATCGGACTCTATAGGTTGCGGAAAAATCTATCAAGAAAGCCACTCACCATCCAGGTTGTATCGCTTGTCATAGTTCAACCGCGTGGGGCCGGCGAACAAAGCACTCTCCCCGAAGAGCCAAACGCTCAGCACGGTCGAGTCGTCCAAAACCGGGGCCCCTTTTTCGTTGATGACGTCACACGCGATCCTCACCGTGTCTCCCAACTTGGCCGTCAGATTCTGCGGCTTCGTCGCAAATTTGTACACCGTCGTGTCCACGACCTCATCTTCTGTTTCTTCGGCAGCCACAGCGCCGAGCAACAAGACGAACATCAGCCACAACTTCATTCTTCCTCGCGCAGGGACAAAAATTGAGAAAGCAAACAACACCAAAACCACCGCGCGGAAGCGGGAAGATCACAGGTAAACCGGGTCCGCCGAAGAGAAAAAATGTCTGAAAACAGAATACAGTAATGTAAATTTTAAATCTCACAGCCCCTTCATAGAAGAGAAAACAAGCTCAATCAACGCGAACATCACCAAATCGAGCATCACAAGACTTCCTCTAAACGAAAAACAAGTTTTGAATAATCTTGACAGAAAGATCCGCAGTCAACATTCAAGTTCAGTATTGTGAAGATGACCATCTAAGTATTCAGGGCTAAGAAACCTTGCCCCTGAAAGCGTACGCAAATTGATGGCAACCATGTGAAGAAAATACACAGTCTGACCTCTCCAAGTCAAATTCGAAGGGACCAACAGAAATTTGACTCGAAGAGGTTTTGAGTAAGACGTTAGTGAAACTAGGTCTGAAAAGCTTGCGACACATTTAAAAAATGAGCAATTGGGGCTGGATTTTTCTCTGCAAATGTTCGCAGTGCGTCCTAAAGAATTTCCTTGTCTTCCAAAATAAGGTGTTAGGGAGGTTTACTGCTGAAACATTTGGAGTTGAGGAGGTGCAGATAAAATTGTTTTAATGGGACTTCGGACAAGGAGTACAGAAAAAATCGAGCTAGGGACGTTTTCGAATTGGGGAGGTTCGAGTTCAAGATATTCGCCAGCAGAAAAAAGCGATTCTAATAGGAAAAATCGAATAAAAAATTAGCACTCAATATCACAGTAACACTCCACAAAGAATCCATGCTATAGAAGCCCACATGCACACCAACAGAACCCGGACGGATGCAACGTCAGACGACTTATTGTTAATGTGTCACTGCACCATCTATTAATAATAAACTAAAACACCAAAAGAGTTAGATAAGAGGAAGTGAAAACTCGGATGAATCACATGTTTCTCACTGCACAGTAACTGTTCAGACTCTCATGTACGCCAGGTACAGTATTTCGACACCTGGAGCGTTGCAAATTCCAACTCCCGTGATGACCCACTTTCGCGTGACGCACAGCAAGAATTCCACAGAAACCCAAGTCACACACTTTTCCCAGCAAGAAGAGAATTGCTCATGCTCTCAATATTTCCCCAGCAAACTGATACAACAAACTCATAAATACATTACTCGGTGACGCATCGAAGGATTCAGCTTTCGATGCTGACGACGAGTCCCACAAAAAATCCCCGTAACTTGTGCCGACCGATTTCAACACAATTTAGCTTCATATCCAGCTGAATGAGAAGTAACCTTTTTTTAATACTGGAAGAAAAGACACCATGCGCGGCGAGGGTCAACTGGCTTCCGCGGAAACTTCAGAGATAATTTTAAAAACTCTCACACGTAAATTCTTCCGCGAATCACTGGAATATATGCTGCCAAATAAAATCTTTGACAAGAAGAAAAAACCGCTTAGAATGAGAAAAACGAACCACCAAGGAAACAACACACGGGGCATTAGAACCAGAGGAAATCCCGCTTGCCAAGGCTTCATCCGAAACCAAAGCGAATTCACTCGACCGTTATAAGCACCATTGTAGATAATACGGCGAAGATCCCGTTTCTTAAGCTCCGGAGACGTCGACCTGGGTAAGCTAACGTGAACACACTCCACCGAGCACTGGCTAAACTAATCCACAACAAGAAAGGAATTCTCCAGCTGAAGAAGATCATACGACAAAGCGATACTCTGACGGATTCAATCAGAAATACTCCACTGCAAAGAGCACTTCAAGAACGTAAGTCACACCGACAAAAACACAAAAGGGGTTGAAAAAAGGTTGCCTGAATGACCCACAGTCATCCCTAAAAGCTTTTAAAATTACGAGGAATCAAAGAGCAAATAATGTACAGTACGTTTACCCGAGATGAAAAAAGTATTCCAAAAACCTTTCAAAATCATCACAACATTCTGTACACAAGAGAGGGAACTTTACTGCCGGAATCCCACTGGTCGAATGTGGATATGCACTTTTCAAGGAGCTCTATTCTATCACTTCCTCACAACTGTTGGAATTGTTTCGCTTTCACGTTGAAAAGATAATGCGAAGATTTGACGATGTACTGTAATTCATCTTGGTCTATATTCTCATAATACCGGGATTATTTCCATAATTGGACTTTTCGTACATTTGCAGGCAGTGCTACCAAATATTTTTACACAATCAAGGGTGATCAAATTCAGAGAAGCATGTTCATTCAGTACTGTTTTATTAAACCGAAGCTGGACACTGCCCGGAACTACGAATTGGTGAGCAAGAATCAGCACAAACCAGAGCTGCTAGTTCGAAAACAATTTGACCAAATTAAAAACAGATTAGCCTAATCTTGTTGCATGATCCCGAAATATTTCGGAAGATTCTGATTTTCGACTTGAGCACTCGAAGAACAGGATTTTCGGGAGCTTCCCATTCATTCCATGTACGTTGACGAATCAACCCCATTCACATAATTTCCCCAAGAACAGATCGCAGGTAATGCTTCTCAGTCAGAAGAAACAATATGAACAGGTTCACGTTCATTGAGTCACGGGTATCACACTCAACTCACTTCATAATACACTGGAACGAAATAAAAAAAAAAAAAGTCGTCGCAGGCAAGTGCTCATAATTTCGTCCTGAAGCCATTCGCTACATGACAACCAAATGAAGCAATCCCGAATAAGCCCTTCCCATAAGACACACATCTCCATGCCGGCTCGAAGAACCCAACAACCGGAAAGGGTAAGGCGTGACTCAGGGGGGTCCCAGTCACGTTTCCCACGAAGAAGAACACCGACTGCCTCGTCACAGATTCCACACGACCGCAACATCCTCCTTCGCACAAGGAAATCCGATCTAGGAGCGGCAAGAAATTTCACCAAGGTGTGAAGACGGTTGGTTGGCCCCTTATCTAGGCACACACCGCGCAACACGCAACTTCAGGCCTTTACGCAGTTGAACGAAGTACAGTACAGTACAGTACAGTTGAACCTCCATAACTCGAACGAACCTCTCTAAGTAGAATACCTCCCTACGTTAGATTGTTCTTCATTTCCCCTTCTGAATTCCTTTAAAAACATTCAAAACCCATTCAAAACCCCCCTAACTCGAAGATTCCCTCAAATCTACCTAACTCGATTTCCTGGAAATCTTTTGGGTACAGTATTTTATTGACACAGGAAAGAGAAAAAACAACAAAATTATAAGGTTGTGCGTTTTGAACGGGGCTGAAGAACTATTAGGCCGAATGAAGCCTCGCCTCCAAGTTCAGCATTCTGTCAACTAATTCATGAAGCAATTTATATTTGGTGATACTGTATACAGTCAGAATATCACCAATTACAATTTCCTGTAAGTGTTCTTTCTGCAAAATTGTTCGGGAACACTTCCGCGCTTTCACTAGAGAACGCGATAGAAGCAGAAAGTGTTCCAAGGGGAGAGGAATCCGTATGAAAAATTATCCAATGCACGGAAAACAATTAGAAGAGGTTCATTCCTCGTCTGGAAGAAATCGCCATATTTACTTGAAAAACAAGTACAGCTTACACGTTTTCACGCGGAACTTCGGAAACACTTTACCTTGAAGACGCATTTCCAACCACAGTAAAGGCTTCTGAACAAGTTTTCCTTTGAACCATCAACCGAGCCGAGTTATGGCCTATAAAAATCCCCACACCCTCTCATCTCGTTGAAAAATGCCAACACAGTCAAATCCAACGAACTACGTCACAGAAATGTTCAATCATTCGACACAGAGAAACACTTGGTTTCCACCTTTTGATAATTTCGACAGACGCGTTTCGGGACCCGCCACATCACAATCCCAATTGGTTTTTACTGCATCGTGCGCCTCAAGATCAAATCGTCCTCAAGGCATTCGACTTGGGGAGGTTCGAGTTCTAGACATTCAACTGTATCATGAATCATTTGCGCAGACACAGTTTCCAACCAAGCACTCAACTTACGACAAATGGTCACATAATCACTCATACGTTCCACGAAATCAGCACACCTTCATCCACAGATATTTCATTGAATCACACGCTTCAAGATTAACTGGTTTCCCAAGAATGAAACGGCGATGAAACCACACACCGCACACGTACAGTACTCCACTGCAACTTCACCGTGACGTGACCGCGTTGCGGAGCGGTTAACGCGCAAGGTGAACGAAACCATTCAACAACAAAAAGCCGATGCCTCACGATTTCGAAAGATACGCGAACACAATACAGAACGTACACTACAAGATCGCACTTACACGCTGAAGCCTCAAACTGCCAAAATAAATAAGGATTCGAGCTCACGAATCGTGTGCACTGGGGGCAAAAATTCCAGCAAAGCTGCGCGACAAACCGACGAAAGTCTTTCGCACGCAGCGCGTCACGGACCGCGAACTTGTTATTCACTCCAAGCACAACCACATCAAGAGGGGAGAAAAAAAAGATTTCGAAAAAAAGAGCGCAGGGAGCAATTCATCTCCTACCCAACACCGTCATGGCATGTCTGAGCCCACACAACAGCGACAGACGCAAGGAACTGAACTAGTTCCCCCGTTTCGCATGGAAGTGGATGAGTAATGGCATCGCAATCCCAGACCCCCTGAATCAGCCCCGCACTCATCCTCGCCGGCATTTTCTTCCACGCCCATGCAAATTATTGAGGCTTCGCACTGAACTAGGATTGCATTCTTCCCTATGATGAGAAAGAGGGCATCTCTAAAGCTGAGCTGTAGAATCTGCACAGATCGTGTTTTCTCACACGTGCATTGGGGAGAAAATGTTCAGATTACGCTGAGCACTTCGACAGAGCTTTTTCACAGGTTGACACGAGAAAAGGGCCCATGAAAAATCACTATTTCCATCTACTACGGGTTCATTTATCACTCTTGAACCTTTGAGTTTTGTTTGGTTAGGCATGGCAAAAGTTTTTTCTGTTCCACTGTACGTGGAATGAAAAAATTCCTTTTCGCTAGATCCATTTTGGTATAAATGCTTTCAACTTTGCAAAACACAACGCGTTTTTTCGGATAGTAAGCACTGTATTGTCAATAGGAGCCATTTCAAGCTTTCGTTCGTTTGTT